CCCTCCCCCCCCCCCCCCCCCCCCCCCCCCCCCCCCCCAGAAAACAAAAATGACCCGCCGCAAGCGGGAACTGACCCGGCCTCCCCTCCAGCCTCCATCTGATTGGCGAGCGTGACGTCATCAGACCAGACATCATACTGCCACTTCCTGAGCCCGAGCACCCCGCACAGCACTCTCCCCGTGTGGATCCCCACCCGCATGTTCAGCTTCACGTCCGTCGCATCCACCACCGACCTGCAACCGCCATCCACATCCGTCGACCATCCGGTCCGCCCAAAGCCGCCGACCAACCCGTCCCCCAGACTCACGCGATGGCGTCGATCATGTCCAGCCCCATCTCCACGGTGCTGCGCCCGTGATCGCTCCGCGGCTCCGGCAGCCCGCTCACGCAGTAGTAGCAGTCCCCCAGGATCTTGATCCGAAGACAGTGATTGTCCTGGGAAACAACAGAGGAAAAGAAAAAAAACCTTCTCAAGAGTCAGATACAGGGAAGATAAAGGACCCCGCCTTTCCCCAATCTGGCATAATGAAGCCCCGACTCATTCATCTAATGAATGATGGAACGAGCCCTTCCCCCTTGTCACATCTACAAGGGAAAGCGAATGCGATCCCCTTACGCAGACCGAACGGGGGATGGAAAAATCTGACAGCCTCGCAAATAACGTCACCGCAAAGGAGAAAAAGGTCGCCGCACCTCGCCGACGACATCAAACTCGATCCACTGAAACATTTAAGACCCCAACGCACCGACTTCACCTACTTCCCGGGCGAGTCCAAATAATTCAGAGGACGTCAAATGTCCCATAATGTCATCGCCTGACCCCATCCCCTTCCCTCTTTCCATTATTTACAATCCCGATCAGTTGATCCCCGGATATGAAACGCCATGGATGGGGATCACGCACCCCCATCAATTCCGGAGATCCCACAGCCATGACGTTCCGAAATCCTCAGGGGAGATTTTCTGCACGATCGAGCATCGTCGGCTTTTTTTTTTGTCCTTTGGGTTCATCCGGAGTCATGAACAGGTTGTTGTGTTCACATCCTGGTATTTCCCAACTGCACGACACTGTACTGCATACGAGAAACGAACCGTGGGAAAACTGCTGAAATCTCAGAGAGAAAGGGGGTCAAATTTTGCACGCATACATTGAACGAATTACACGGCATTTGCGGCTGGATTTCACTTGAACACGGGCAAGACTTGAGATACAGCCAGACTGGAATAACCAAACCCCTGCACAGAATTAATACGGCAATAGGCACCAGGAAAAGACGATGAACGTTCAAAATCTGAACCCTCATCCCTGAGTGCAACGAAGAAACTCCCACAGGCCTCGAACAAAAAAAATGACTTGAAAAAAAAAAAATCGTCACTTGCAGGATGGACCCAGGCACGGTCGCCTTCAACCCGTGGCAACACGCGCGACCGCCCCGCGACCCCCCCCCCCCCCCCCCCCCCCCCCCCGCCCCCCCCCCCCCCCCCCCCACCCATTCTCGATCCCCACGGCGAATCACCGCCTCGTCACGACCTCATTCTCCTGGCGATCTTCCGCCCCGGGGATTCAATTTGCAGGATTCCCCGCGGACACCACCAACCCCGGCATCGATCCCATCTTTAACAAGCGACACTTAAGCTCTTCCGGGCCGCTCCATTCCCCCCGCCGCGAAACGCTCATTAGCCTGAAAAATCCAGACGGAAAACGACGAAAGTCGAAACCGGCGAGCCATCATCGCGGTCTCGAATCGCGGACGCATTACCGCATTCGCAGTCGTGATTGATAGACCATAGACGTCCCGATTTTTTTTATTCCGCTCCCGCTAATGGACGGCCCCGATGTAAAGCAAACCAACTCGTCCGGAGGAAATGATGCCCCGGGAGGGGAAAAATTAATGGAGTCCTCTCTATCGCCCCCAACGATCGGAAACGGGCGGAAAACGCAAGGCAAAAAGGGCACGGAAAAAAAAAGAAGCCAAGAAATGGGACTCACGTTGGCCAGCTGATCGAACCGACCGAAGAGCTCATTGAGGAGCCGGACCAACTCCTGCGCCGTGCACTGGGAAGCGAGCACCGTGAACCCCACGATGTCCGCAAATAGGATGCTGCCAAACGATACACACACAACGGATACACACACAACGGTCAATCGAAGCAAGTGACAAATGGCACAACTGATAATTAACGCAACCGGCAATTGACTCAATTGACGTAATTACCTGACGCAACTAACTGCCGCAATTGAAAACAGATCCAGCGCGGATCCGTCCTTAATTTTTCATCTAAACCCCAACAGGTTCTTAGGCTCATTAAGAGAGGGGGGGGGGGAATCAATGAGGCTTCTTCAAATCCCTCCTCCCCCATCCCAACAACAGAATCCCTGAGGATAATGAAGGGAAAACAGGAATTATGGGGGCAGGACGGGAAGAGGAATAATGCATCACAGGAAGAAGGAAATGAAGAAATGGACTTGATTATTCCCTTTCCATGCCAGCAGCCCATCGATCGCTCCCGTTTCCCCTCCCTCCCGGTTCCTTCCCGATAAATTTCTCATATCGACAACGAAACTTCCCCATGCCACATGTACGACAGCCATCCCTCGTCCCGCCGGGGGGGGGGGGAGAGTCCCTCTTCGCCCGAGAGCGAATCGCATTACGCTGCGCTTCGTTACCCACGCAAGCGTCGATCACCAGGTCCGGCGACTCAAAGGATTCCCAGCGCGACCGGGACACTACGACGACGACGACGAAATTAGGCCCGGTCTCGTGAGAAACCCTCATTACCGTGCCCGGTGATAGGTAATATATCAATTCCACTCGCATCGCCAGAAGAGGAAGCATTCCCCCGATTGCCCATGCAAAATAGATGCCTCGACCGAATCCTCCCCCACGAGTTCCCTTATGCAGCGAATCCACTCTTCCACGGTGAGAAATGACCCTCATCCGAGAAGGAACAAAAAAAAAATTGGGCTGCGGAGTGTGGGAGAGAGCGTGAGATGGATCCATCCCTTCATTCAAGGGGTCAAGATCCATTACAGCATGCACGTTCTAAGGTGGGAAACCGATCGGGAGGACGTCCCCCTCGAGGGACACATCCCAACGGGACCCCCAACCCCCGAATAAAGCTCAACGGGAGGGCAAGGCACTGGCCCCCGTCCCCCTCCATCCCGCCCCACTCCTCCTTCCCTCTCGACTCCTCTCCGGCCCGAGTCATTTCCCTCCCTTCGATACTCTCTCCCCTTCTTCAATACCGGCCGTTCGTCATCCATCGCCGTGATTATGAAGCTATAGGGATCGACCATCCGTCTTCTCTCGAGGCCATTTTTCGCCTCGCTCCCATGATCATAATGGCCACGGTGCAAGAATATAACAAAGAGAAAGAGATCTTTATCGAATGTGCAGCGAGGACTCCGGCTTCTCCCTCCCTCGCATTTTCTGCGACTGCCCCGGCTCTCACCGAGCCAACGAACCCATTCCCCTCTCGCCGAATGCTAATGCTCACCCGACCCGCCGGTCTGGCACGAAACTCAAAACCCTCCCCGCACCGGGAAGAAACCGACCGCAGCCTCGCGAAAGGGGGGCGAGACCAAAAGTGGAGGCAAAAGGGGAGGAAAAAAGGGAGGCAAGCAGCCGCAGAACCCTCCCTGTCGTCGATCCCCTCACTCACCTGACGTTCTCGTGGCGCTGGATGTAGATCTTGTGGAACTGTCTCTCCACGGGAGAGATGATGTCGGCCTTCATCTCCATCGCCACGTGCTGGGGCAGCACTGACAGCAGCAGTCGCTCCTGAAACGCAACGCAAGACGCATGCAATCACTCGGCAAAAATGAAAACGCGTTTCAGGCTCTTTTCTCTCATAACTTCGGATCAGTCAGACCTCCAGTATCGAGGGAGAAAATAATGTATCCGAATGTGGGGCACATGCCCATACAAAATAAATATCACGTCGTTGCTGGACGTGTTGGTCACGTAATATATATAAATTCATGCTTATCTGGCGAAATTTTATAAGCCAAATAACAGATATTTACTTATTTGTTTCAGACACGGAGTGAAAAAGACTCAGTTTAGTAAATAAAAGTGTGCTGCGATCATTGTGTCTTCACGAGGAAAGAATACAGCGGAGATTCACAATGAACTGGTAGATGTTTGCGCTGCAAACAGTTGGTCCATCTGACCCCGAAGGCCTTCCGTCTGTTCACAAGCTCGGGTAGGCAAATATTTCCCATGGAGTCCGTCCGGCGATTTGCGCGTGCCGTGCACCGAATGAAAAAAAAAATGTGCTGCTGCTTTCGAAAAGTGGATCGAGAGACGACGTGACAGGTGGGCGGTGACAGGCACGGCGGCGAATCCGAAACATGAGCAAATGGCACCATTAACTTTCCATTATTAAAAAAAAAACTAATGATTAGAACTTTTTTTTTAATGTATTGCTCTTCACAGATCTTCAGACACACTCTAGTTCTAAAAAAAATGCTTCAGCGATCTCATTAACACACAAATTTCCGCACACCGATGATGAATCCCTGACATTTTCCGCGAATTCGAAGCGCCAGACTAAACGAAAATTCCCGCCAAATTGCATAAAATTGCAACGGTCCATGAATAACATGAGCCTGTCAGGCACCCTACTTGCTTGTTTCCTTCAGAGTTAGACTATTTGAGCAGCGAGTTACTCTTTGACCTGGATGAGCCTAGAGGAGTGATTTCTTGCGAATCCAGGACAAAAACGGTCCCAGACAGGGTCCGGACATTTTGGTCTCAAATGAGGAATAGGGCAAAATGGTCCCCGCAGGAAAAAAAAAAGTATGATGAGCCCATCAAGAGTTAACGATAATTTTAATGGCTGAGTCATCAACTCATAACAACCTTCTAAATTAGATTCTTTATTACTTCGGTAGGTCGAAATCATTGGGGACTATGATTCAAGGAGATATTTATTCCTATAAGGTAATAAATAACGTAATTTTAGTAGGTTATCATGAATGGATGACGCTTTTATTTAAATTATCGTTAACCCTTAATGAGCTGTTATGCAATTTTTGCCGCTGGGACAATTTTGTCCGGCAACCGTTTTAGCAGCGCGTTGGAAAAAAATTCGCAACAATGCTCAGGTTCGACGCCTGGACACGAAATATTGCAATTTTCATTTTCGCATCGGAAGCACCCCTTCTATGTAAGCGCATGAGCATTGCGAGTGAGTACTCCCGCTGAGCCGTCTAGGTCAGGACGAGATTACTCGTCCATATTGCTCCTTGGGGAAAAAAAAAAATCCTGCAGTAGAGCCGCAAAAAAATGATGTGTGGAGCCCTTCATAAGTGAAGCATGAGCGACGAGACGCTCCACAGGAGATGCCTGTGATTCCTGGCTGACGAACCCCGAACCGCACCCGTCATTAGGGACCGATGCGTCGCCGAATATAAACGAGGGGGAAAACGCCGGGGAACCGAGCCAGACCGACCGTCTCGATGCGCACTTGGCTCCTCCTTTGCGCTTGGATGAAAAACACATTAAAATAAATGTTTTTAAAAAATATACCAGAGGGGGTATGGAGTACACGCAGGATGTTCTCCTGTTTTCAAAACCGTGATGTATCGCATTGGCCAAGCCAAGTAAAAACTTAAACCGTGACGGATCGATGTTCTGGTTTGAGACTCCAGGAATTCGGCCTAATGCAAATTACAACTGAAAAGCTGATTTCAGCGTTCCCCTCGATTTCTTTTAAATGCTCGAGCCGACAGCGCCTTCACTTCAGAAGCCCACTTCCCCTAACATTTTGCAGAACTAACCAACCACAAGGCACACCTGAAAACCCATACGCGACGAAAACCATACCCCGAGCGCCCGATCTGAATGAGAAAAGGACTCAGCAAAGGTCAGCCGAAGGCCATCGCGAGAGAGAGAGAGAGAGAGAGAGGCTAGCGAAAGGGCCAGTCAAAACAATGCAAGACGCCTGGCCGCAGAGAGGGAAACAAGAACAATAATAGGCCATATAACCACGGAATGGCGTCTGTTTGGCACCGGGGGAAGGAACATGATCCTCGTGCAAATGCCCTCGAGGCCATCCACCGACTCGGATTACACCCTCCATCCCCCCACCCCGCATCTCCATCCCCCTTGTAGCCGCGGTACTTGTATCGGCCTCCTTCTCTCTTGCGCAACGCATTAGGCACGTCGTGAATGGAGGTATGTGTGAATGACCGGTAGAGGCGTGCGCGGGACTGCGACCGCGGATGACTCGCGCGGCGACGTGGGCGGCAAGGTCGAGCGGTGTCGACATTTTCAATCCTGGGGGGAATACCTGGGCATTCCCCTAAAAAAAAAAAAAATCCAAGCCACGTCCAAGGTTCTTCAAACAGAATTCCCTTACAGATAAATAACTCACATGCGCACCACCATAGGAACTCGCAGCGAGGAATGCCATCCATCTGCCGGGGCAAAGACTGCCAGAAAGATCTCGCATTCATTCTCTCTTTCACGACGCTTTTGTGATCCCACGGCTCAGACTCGGATCTGCTCGAAAGCCAATATTTCTCGGTCGAAGGGAGTAGCAAATTGAGATCATGGCAGACGACCATGTCAAACTTCGCTCGGATCGATGGGATGCGAGGGGGAGGGGAAAAAAAAAAGGGAAAAAAAGAATTCCGACCCAGAAATGAAGATTCCTCCAAGACGACCCAAGAATCTCGGCGTCTCGGTGGACAACGATCGCTGTAACGAGTAACTAGGATCGTTGAGGGTGTCCCGAGGGGCACCCTCAGACGCCCCCGAATTCATCCCATTTAAGCAAGGCCCCATCCCAAGAGATAAGTCCATCATCGTCTCCCCTTGATAAAGGCAAGGCGTTCCATCGATCTCCATGTAAAAAGCCCCTCGCTGTTCTCAGAACACAAGGCTCGCGGAGAGCGAAGGGTCGAGGAAGGCGAAAGGATCGAGGAAAGCGAAGGGTCGAGGAAGGCGGAGGATGGAGGAAGGCGGAGGAGCGCATCTCTTTCCCCCTCGACAACCCTCGTAATTGACGAAAGATCGTGTCTCTCTCGATATAAGAGGCCAACGATCGGGGGCCAAAAACCAAAAATACAGTCGCTTCTCGACCTTGAGAACCTCCGCACAAATGCCCTCATTCACCGCCAAGTAAAAACAAAAAAGAAAAAAAAATGGAAAGGAAAAAAAGGAGGAAAAACAGCCCCGCTCCTCCTCACAAGCCCCCTTACATGTTTTTTGGGAAGGAAAGATGGAAGAAGCAAGGAAGCAAGCCAATTTGGCACTCGGCATCGGCTTCGATAAGCTTTGACAGGAAGGTGACCCCCATCCTGCGTACCTGAACCCAAGCACCGTGGCATATGACACGAAAACCCTGGCATTCGCATCGTTGGGCATTCCCTCCGCGTTCCTCATTAAAGACTTGTAGGGGGAAAAAGAAATCAGAAGACGAACGAGGACAAAATAGACGTCAGACCGGGAAAGGATCGACGGGACAATGGACTGAGACGCAATTCAACCAGCAGTCCTGGAAAAATGGAACTGACAAACAATTTTTTTTTTCCCTTACAGCTTTCCCGGGGACAAAGGCGGTCTCTGACGTCATCTCAAGTTGCAGTTCCCCTTAAAAAAATAATAATAATAATAATGGCAGCTGTCGCGGATTTCATTCCCCATGCCGCCGAGATAACTAACGAGTCCTCCGATTCTTATTTGAAGTTCGGGCGGGGAAAAGGAAATTCCGGGGCGAACTTCTCCCTGTCACCCATCCATTTCTCCTGCACACAAGGGAGGCGGGGTCATGCACGAAGAGTAAATGAGTCACGGGAACGGATCTTTTTTTTTCCCTTCTTCTTCCAGGGGGTCTTCGTTCCCCTGGCATGCGAGGGAACGAGTCTTCGTTCCCATGCGAGGGTCTCCAAACGGATCGTGTCGTCCATAAATAAATGAATGCCAAAGCGGAGGAAACGAATGCGAGCCGGAGTTGTTTGAGCCCGGGCAACACGGCGAAAAGATGGCCAGAATGGCTCGTAAACCCTTCTTCATGGCTTACAGCCGGCTTCCATCCAGGATGTCAACGACGAGGGCTTCTGGCACTAAATTCTACGGGTCTCCTGTGAAGGTTACTCGACAGAGTTCGTCCCGAGTCAAAAAACTTCCATAGAAGGGAATTGCCTCCAGGTGGGAAGCCATCACATCTGCCACTTTTCATTCCGAGATTTTTTATGACCAAAAATAACACGCTTTCCTTTTTAGCATCGATGCCAACCGCAACCATCCATCGCCGCGCGAAACACGCCTCACGGTCGCGAACGCATCTGGGACCCCCCTGCACCATCGTTCGCGGCTCCAGATGTGAAGGCCCTTCTCAGCGCGGCGAAGATCCTTCCGAGAAGGGTGAAGATCCATTCCCAGCGCATTCCAGCGCCTCCCCACGCCCTTAACGACAGACGCGAAACGTTCCAAGGAATTCCCCTTCTTTCCTGTCGCGTCCCCCCCCCCCCTCCCCCTCACCCACCCTCGAGTGCAAACGTTAACAAGCCTCACTCGATCGACCGCGAAAACAAAAAGAAAGGCAGCGAAGCCGAGAGAAACCCGGGAAGAGGATAATATCGTTTCCCGTGGTCTCATCCTCAAAGATAAGAATTTTTTTTTTCTCTCTCTCTCTCTCTCTTTCCCATGCAATCACGAACCGAGGCAGGGAAATGAGCAGCGACTGCTTCCGTCCTCCGTCCTCCTCCCTCGCCTTTAAATCAATAGGGCAATTGCATGGCTCGGGCTTTAAATAGCTGCACGGATCTCGACTCCGCGGTTATCATGCCGCTCGCGTCGACTCGCGTGCATTTCCTCCGGACGTTTCCCATCGCCTAATCGACGGCATGCTCCCGAGGTCGGACGAGTCGGATTATCGTCGATCGTGCTTCGACATGCGAGGGATAAAACCCTCGTGACTTCGGATTAGCGTTTCCCCAAATTTCGCCCTCGTCGCCCCACGACCGGGGTCGAGGGCAGATCGCTCGCTTTTCCCACATTTATCAGCGACACGGACAAAACCTAGCGGGAAACGCGTCCGTTGTTTGTCCCGTTCTTCCCATATTTGTTGCCGCTGACGTTTTCCCTGGCGATAACGCGCATCGACCATCAAAGACATCTTGCAGTTTTAATGGCGAGGGACAAAAATAGCTAATCTCACCGCCAAAGTACTTGGCGCCGCTTTACCGCATGAAAAATCGCCGCTATTATACCGATTATGCGACGTCAGACGCGCCGCGAGCACGCTCTGCCACCTTCGACAGTTGGCGTAAAATCCACCCTTCCAGACACGCCCATCTGTGAGAAATGGGGACCGAGACGTCTGGAATGCAAACAAGGAGGAAGAAAAAAATTCTCACCAGCTTCTCGTTTTCCTCCTCGATCTCCAGCCGGGCGGCGATGCAGTTGCGCGTGTCGAGGAAGGCGCGGCGCTGGGCCCGCTCCGTCAGCACGTGGATGAACACGCCGGCCACGTTCACGGCGGCGTGCATCAGCGCGTTCGCCGTCAGCTGGGACACAGAAATTCATCCATCAATTCGTTTCACGCCTAGGGGGCTTGAAAAAAAAATTTTCTGACACCTTTAACATATGCCAGACCACAAACCGGGAGAGATTCCATTAACTCTTAGATCTCACTCATTTCCCCAGCCCTTTCAAGGTTTTCCAGGAAAACCAGTCTGTCGACCGAGGGATACCCATCGATCCAGTTTCCATTTCGTTTCATTCATAAGGTCATCCTGTAACGACCGAGCCGTCGTCTGACGTCACTCGCCGAGCCTGAAACTCGATCCCGCGCTGGGAAACTCGTCTGCGACTTGTCACCACGCGATCCGGCTGGCGCGGTATCGCCGGATCGGATGTGCTACCATCTGATGCGGTGGCACATCATTTACGTAAACTGACCTAAATCGTGGGAACAACAAAACTTGGGCTGATGGGGGGGAAAAGGCAACGACCTCTGCACCATTATCCAATTTAAACATCAAAATGTCACATTCTATTAAAATTTTTAGACTTTCAACTCGTTCGCTTGAAAAAAAAGACAACGCAATTTCCCGGTTCTGTTGCATTTTTTACTGGAACGCCAGCCATCGCATACGTCAACGTCACTCTAAGGGCACAGAAGACAGAACACAGCCTCGTTTGGTGCCCGAAATAGCATGGGGGGAGTCGGACATTAATCGGCGACGGCCGACGATGGCCGGAATGGGGAAAGAGCAGACCATTTTCGTGCGGGATGCAAGAAACGGGGCGGAGAAAGGACAGAGTAAATGACGAAAAAAAAAAGGACAGGGTCCTTGACGATAAATCTCAATCACAGGAAGCGGAAGGCCCACCCCCCCCCCCGTCTTTGCCTCGTTCGAGGGGATAAACACGGGGCCAAAACAAAAACCGGGCTTGTGCCGTGGTGCCGAAGGTGTTACGGGGTACTCGATCGAACTCCGACAGGAGTTCCTTTGTCTTTGCCGGTTCCAGCTCTTCCTTCAAGGTCGCCGTGTCACGCGAGCTTCCTGCTCAATTCAGAGCGAGGGAACAAAGCGTTTGACGAGGCTTCACTTTTACCTCGTTGAAAATCGCCTCATGCGCCGGTTCGCTTCCAACCCGAGATCGAGCCATATGGCGAATTTATGCGCACGATGTCGTGACCTTTAAGACGAGCATCTCGCCATTGAGGGTGGGTTCAACTGCATGCGTACTGGCATGAATGTTTAATCCGGATGCGAAAGCAAACGATGAGGCCGACAAAACGAATTCGAGAAGGTTTACATAATAGACTGCACCCGTGAAAAAATATACAGAGAGCAGCCATCGTCCCGTCCCATACATGCCTTCAAGTGCAGAAGAACTGAAAGCACGTAAGTGCAAAAAAAGGAAGAGAAAAGGGAAGGAAAGAAAAGAAGAGAAGAAAAAAAGGAGGAAGAAAAAAAACGGGAGATGGAAAGGAAGACAGGTGGCGGCTTTCGCAGGTCGACGGCACCTGGAACCTTTTCTGGTTACATCATGGGTACAAAGGAGGAGGAAATATTATCCAAGTAAATAAAAGAATATATAAAACAAATAAATCCTCCATAAGCAATAAAACGATGAGAAAATGAATGAATTCAGTAATTAATTCAAATCAACTTTATGGCGGAAAATAAAGGAAAGGTATTTTTAAAAAATTATGAGGTGGACACAGAGATCGTCTCTGTGAAGAAATTTCGAGCAGTGGGTCTCTTTATGGTTTCCGCGCCGAACAGGTGCTGAACATCTATATCGGATGAGTTCGGAGATCGAGATGAAAAATGTTACTGGTCCTGAATGGAAACAGCCTGCACTGACATCTTGATAAGCCTGCCTCGCAGATGGCTCAGTACTGAGATAAGCAACTCCATATGTATAATCCCACTTGGCCGCGGACGAAAGAAAGCATGAAAGACCATCCCGGCATGCCATTAGAACACTCAAGTGAAGTTGGTAGCAGTTTAAATTTGCGAACTTTTTCAATACAGTGAAGCAGCACTGCTGCGAATAGAAATGCGAGTCTATGACCAACCCATAGTCGCATCAGTCCCCGAACTAAAACCACCATGTTTTTGTAATCTGTACGACCCTCGCGAAGGTTACGAGGTGAACCACCCCCTCACGATGAGGTAAACCACAGAGTCACGGCCCGTTCGAGACCCTCGACGAAATACTCACCTGCTGCCATCGCAAGTCCTCGAAGAGCGGCTTCGCGAGGACGGCAACCAGGGTCTGCAGAAGGGGCAAGGTGAACCCAAAGACCAGGCAGAGGCTCAGCTTCAACGGCAACAGGGTGTAGACGAGGAAAACCACGAACACGATGTGCCACACCCCATCGCCAAGGGTCCGGACCTCGGCGCTGGTGAATTGCCCCAGCCCGAAGGACGAGGGGAAGTGGCACACGCAGAACGCCACGAGGAAGCTCAAGATCACGTAACACACCCACAGGAGTTGAGTGTCCCTCATCCACTTCGTGTTCATGTAGGCGAACACGCAAACGAACACGGCGAAGTGCACCAGCATGTAAATGCTCTCCACGGTGGGGCGCTGGGCGTAGTAGAAGTGGAGGATGGCCAGCAGGGCGGTCAGGATGAGGAAGAGCATCACCGAGTTGGCCACCGACGCCTGTTGCAACTTGAAGATGTAGCGCTGGAACAGCCGCTCCAGTTCGTGGTTCTCGAAGCGCCGCCGGTTGCAGAGTCTCGAGAAGGCCACCTTGCGGTGGCTTGTCATGGATTTCACACTGTGATCCATTCTGGCGTGCTTTGGCGGGTCTCACTTTTTACACGGGTGCTACATCACTTATTTCGCCTGAACTCAAGTCTCGCGTCCACGGTGCAGAGAACTCCTCTGGTTGGAATCTAAAAGGGCAAGGCTACCAGGTCATGACAGGAACATGTGTAGAGGATTAATAGGTATCCTACTACTTCTTGAAACCCTGGTACACATGTGATCCTATATCAATGAATTTTCAGCAGTTGTTTGTAGCATTCTCATAAAACTCCAGTATGTCATTTTAACACATCATGTCTCAGACTACTTGTGAATTTTTCCATGAAGCTAATTAATTATGAATGCCTGTTTGGTGCCAGAAATTTTGGATCATCACTCATGGGATGGTGACAACTGCCAGAGAAAGTTCCTCTCAAGTAAATTGGATTTCTAGTTGTATGTCATTACTGGGGGAAAATATCCATAGCAGTAAATAGCATAATTGCTAGACAAAAATTCACACTTGTTCAGCAATCCTGTACATATGTAGTACCAAACCAGATCTAAATAAAACAGTAATCAGAACAATTTATAATAAAACAAACTTGCATAAGAAAAACAATCAGGAAAAAGTTAACAACAAGTCTTTAACATTTTAAAATAAAATCTTAAACTTAAAAGTGAAAATGTAAATCTATACACTCATAAAAAGGGTATATTTTAGACAAAATAGCAAACCTCCAATCAAATCCGTCAGACCTTGGGTAACAAGAGAATCTCTGCAAAGTGTTCCCAATACATCTTGAGCATGAAATAGCCAATGCAAAACACACCCTGGCATATTTATTCTGTATGGAATGGAGGGATTCAAAGTCTCAGTTATGGAATCGTGTGAAAAGGTACGTAGAGAGAATTCAGGTTTCCTGCAATGTTTTCCCCAACACCATGACAGATGATGCAAGGACACCCTTTTTTTGGTGAGATAATCCTATCCTTTTGAACATATGTCATGTGGGTTAAGCCTGCATTTTTCAAAATAACAATTTGTCATGCTAGATCTAACAGGCCCAGCCTAGGCACTGTCTGGGGAAGGCTACATTTGTTGGGTGTCTTTAAGCATAACTCTATGCCAGGCATGGGTTCTTAAACATAAATTAGAGGGCTAAGGACAAAATGACAGAGTCACGCTTTAATGAGAACCGAGTTTAACCATGTGACAGTCCTGCCTAAACCAATCATTTCTCATGCAGGGTTCAAACATTTCCTTTGAGCAACTATGCTTAAAAGGCCTCTATTCTTCTCACTACTGGTACATCCATGCTCTATGTAAGTAACAAAAATACTCTCAATAAATGAGAATACAGAGAGGGAAAAAAAAAAAGGTTTTTTTTTTTTCCAAAACATGTCTGATATATTCCAAAATGTCCAATTATGCTGTGGCATGCTCTATAGGAGTTGGCACAGTCTGAGGAGAAATATTGCCAACTCATACATTTTTGAGACAAGGAAATAAAGCAGAAAAAATTCATAACACCAAAATCCTAGCCTTATCTATTTTCAAACTAAGACTCACATCCAGGAGAGGGGATGATGGAAATAAATATACTTTCAGGAACACTATCTAGGTTTTCACTTAGGGCTGCAGAACATACCAAGCGAAAAACATGCTTGACGGCATTCACAGCAAGGCTGACAGCCTTCTGAATTTTACAAGGACAGCTACAAGAGTGTAAAAAAGGTTTGCCCTTGATTATTTGGCATTAAAGGACTAGCCTCTCCAGACTTCTTTTCTCTAACCTCAGCCAGGCAACAGAGTCCTTACAATTAGGACTGAGCAATGTGTTCAGTTATTTCCTGCATTATATCTACACTAAGAAACTTGGCAAACAGGAAGTTCTAAACCAAAACAGATTAAGCCCATCAAGAAGTGATCTTAAAATGAGAGCACGCTGATTTTTGGAGATTTTGCATGAGAATGAACGTGTGTTATCAGAGATGAAACCTGTAATAGCAGGGTCATTATGGGCCACCAATCTTGCTATATTAGAACATTGCAACATATATTTCATCATTGGAGCACAGTGATTATGATCTCTAGAGGAATGGCAAGTCCAGGTTTCTATCTAATTTGTGGCAGCTTTCTTTCAGGGCAACAGATTATGGAGCTTCTTGCTTGCATTGCAGGGCTTTCCTCAGGTACAAACAACACCTGCCCACTGGCTCAGCATTGATGACTCGGGGCCATCACTGGATGGCAATGAGCCTGAGTGCCATTGAAGCTGGCATCATCTTCCCCAGGGCAATAAAAATAGGATGTGGGAATGATTGAGAGCACAGGAAGGAGAGGCAATGCCAAGTGAATGCACTAAATGACCACTTCCTTTTATTGCATTCAGCCGCACTTGTAGCCTTGTCCTTGTTGGTGTTCATTAAGTCAACATTAAAAAATTATATAGTGCTCAATATCAACCTTTCTACTATGAGATTTTGCACAGAAAAAAAAGGGATAGAAATGCAAGAGGTCATTAACCCTTTGGGGTATGAGTATTTTGGATAAGTCAGCACTGTCATGCAAGTATTTTTTATTTTTTGATGATATGATTTTTGATCATCAGGCCAAACCGAAATAACTTGGGCATGGACCCCAAAGGGATGAACATGAAGGCTACCTGCAAGTTACCAAACAGGTTTAATTTTTTCTTCCAAGAAGAATAAACATTCTTCTATTCAAATGTAGGATAAATTAGCATATGTTTTAGGCCTCAGCCAGTTACCTTACAGCTTCCAAGCATGTGTGAAATTGGTATCTCAACCAGTACTCTCTATGTATTCATAACGTGTACATACATACAATTCGCAGAAGATAAATATTGAAGCCTTGTCACACCCAATATTGTGAACAATAATTTATGCCTACTTTAGGTGCATGAAAGCTAGTAATGGTTCAATCCAAAAGCCCATAATTCAAACAATCTCATGGGATACAGACGAATTATAAAGATTACTTCTCGCTATCCCATTTTCACCATGTTATGCTAGGCTAGCCATGTAAATCCAGGAAAGAAGTCACAAAAATTCAATGGGCTGGGCTGCCTATATTGCAAGCAGACATCTCATCTCTTCCTGCCTGGGAGATTTCACATGGAGTCAATGACTCACAATTAACTTAACTTTCCAGTTTTCCCACACACTTAAAAAAAAATCGGCTATCAAATATCGACTGCTTCAACTGTCTGCCAACAGCTGACACAATCTGGCTTTGATCCAGCTCAAACCCTCACTTGTGGAACATGAACCCACATTCCCTCAATGCTTCCTTTGCATTCAATAGCCTCAAGTTAGGCCTACGCCTAATAGTGATAAAATATTTCAGTCGCGTGAGCTCTTTGTCTCGGTACGCAAGGCATAGACCTAAGCTAGGCTTAAATTGATTTTCAGTTGCATCCTACTCGTAGATCGAGTCCAATGATTTCCAGAAGGAAATGCAAGAAATAGAGTCCCGGGTTTGCTTGCCTGGGGAAGCCTACACGATATATAAATAAATAAAATACTAAGTTAGTAAGAAATGTAACGTATCGGCGAAACAAGCTTTCACGAACACGCAATGTTTACGATGCACGACTCAGCAAAACCGCCAAGCATGAACGAAGTACAACTCAGCCGAGCCCAACTGAAAAACACGGGAGCAGAGAAGAAAGAGCCCGAACCCCCTCCTCCCCCTATGATAATCCCAGGCCCACGGCAGGAGGAGTGAGAGACTCTCGACACACACGCTCACAGCCCAGCCCCCATCCTCAGAAGGCTACGGAATGGTCTCGATCCGAGCGACACCTACGGGACCGCGACGACCACGGAGTCTGCGCCGTGGGAGCGGCGAATCGCAAGCGCGGCAGTGCAATTCGCCTCCCGAGCTAATTTGCAATATTGCCTTTCCCATGTCGATCGCCCAGTCGATCTCTGCAGATTTTCGTCCACAGCAACCAAGTACTTTCGGAGATCCGAGAGGGCTATTCGGATTAATACAGTTCTTCCATTGCTTACCAAATGCCGAGCCCTCAGTGTTGGGAGTACCGAAAAGTACTTTTAGGGAGGTATAGATCTGTATAAGTGAGAAACATCAAACAGCCAAGTACCGAGATGGTACTGGAAACCATGGAAATAAATTTCAGTGAATCTGGTCATCCAAGTTGAATATGTGCGCTGATTATAGCCTTTTACGACTTAAAAGTACAGCACTTAGAATACTGGAAAGTACCCAGGAATGAGGCTCCACAGCTTTACAGAAATGACTAAAACCGATGCTTCTCCCTCGGAAAAAGCACTAGCAGCACTGAATGAACCCGAGAGCGCTCGCAGCGAAAGCGAAGACGATCGGAACACAGCGAGCGAGGGGCGGAGGCGGGCTCGAAGCGAACTGGCCTGCACAAAGCGAACTGGCGTGCTCGAAGCGAAAGGATGCTCGCGGTCCTCCCGGGGAAGGAGCTCGCTCGAGACTGGACCTGGGAGGACGCGTTTCCTCGGGATCGGGGAGGGAATAGATCGGCGGGATGATGAGTGCATGCCGAAGACAGGGGTGTCAAACTGGCGGGCCGCCAGTTCGTTTTCTCCCGTCCTCTTTAACAGTTGCTTTCGCTAAACTTCTGTAAATTCAAACCTGTTGGAATTAAAAATTTGGTTTAAGATTGGTTAATGCGGCCTCCAACCACCTCTGAGCCACCCCATCCGGCCACCGCCCAAATCGGGTTTGACACCCCTGTCCAAGGGCTTTTTTTCCCCTGCAACTTTTTCTTCCCATCTTCAACGCAGAAATTATGGGTTTATGATAATTTTCACGAGAAAATGGCGCTGACACATCGTCACCTTCCCATACAATTATTCCCAGAAAATTATCGGATGCATGACCAGTTGAGTATTTTATGAGAGGGGGAAAGGGGGGGCAGAGGGGGAAAGGGGGGGGGGCAGGGGGGCAAGCGGGGCGTTGAGAGGTCATCTTCATGACAGCCCTTAAAAGTGCGAATCGCAATCACGATTTATTTATTTTTCTTGGGAAACATCGTACCAGAGACGTCAATCGCCCCTCCGAGTCCCCGGATAAATAAAATAAAAAATAAATAAATAATATATAATAAAAAATAAATAAATTCAGTTTTTCTAACATGAAACCTATAGTCTGCATAATAACAGTGATTAATTATTCAATATTATTAGCAGGGGGGAAAGTGAATAGTGATACTAGTGACTATTTGAAGCGTTTTGCGATTAGAACGAGAATCCCCAGCGAACAAGGCTACGTCGGACCAACGTTGTATCAACGTTACGAACGTCCATTCGACGTTGTTTCGACGTTGTGTTCCAAATTGTTTGCTGGGTCCGTGATTATTTCAGTGACTGTCTCGGTCGAATGGCATAATTTCCAATTGTAAAAAAAAAACCCTATGATGAGGACTTGAGGATAAAAAGAAAACCTTTCTGGACATTCTGCTTCCGAATAGATTGGGGCAAATATTTTCTCCTCGGTGATGCTTAAAATGAAAAAAAAGGGGGAAGTATGAGACAACAAATGAAATGTAGCTCTCGAACGGCCGAACGCGTGATTTGGAATATTCGAACATTGACGTCATCGGCATCGAAAAAGCTTCGGCGCTTGAATTTCTCATTTCACCGCGAAAAATCGAAGCTCTCGCATTGGAAACTCGACGAGTCTCGACACAATTGAAACCCAAACGCGCCGACTGATCGGGGAAGACTTGCCTCCGGCGGGAGCATTTCCCCGTCGCGCAGCCGTGCTTGCGCGTGGGCGCGACATCCGGCATCCGTGCCGCCGAAGCAACCCTGTCGCCCGATGGACAGTCACGTGGTCCCTTCCCTTTCTCGTCGCACGTGCCGCCAAGCTGTTTTCGTTCTCTGACCACGGGAGGCACGAGGACGAAAGAGGTGAGGCAGGGAGAACGCGTTGCGTCAGCAGCGAAGAGACGGCGAGGCACGTGAGGGCGACGGGGTCTGGCTCTTGCGCCGATTCCTGTGCGTCTACCTCTTATCTCGAGTTTTTCAGTTATGGTGAATGGTGCTCTGACGTCATTGGGGTTGCGGCTTGGTCATAAGACAGCGTTGTTTCCGGAGGTGATTTTTCATATTTCAGTGTTGTGTTCATGCGCTAGAGAGTATTTTTTCCTGTGCTGTTTTATTCATTTATTTATTATAAAAAAGGTTCATGCTAGTTCTTAAAATGATTCGGTTGCGAGGGAACGGCATTCCTTTGCGATAAGGGTGAAGTGGGGTATTGCGGTGGTGTAATACTTAGGGGAAGCCAGGCACCAACAAGTGGGGGACGCCATTTGTGAAGTCTGAGAACTTTTTTCTTTGTTTTATGGTCTACTGCTTCTGCCTTCTTCATAACTTGATTCTGTTTGGTTCCTAGGATGAAGGGGGTCGGGGCGGAAGCGTGTGGTGAGGAGTCCCCGCATCAGTAGGCCTGGACTTGCATTGTACTTTTAAACTCTAAAGTGCCAAAGGTGGACCACGGTAAATCATGGTAGAACTAACTTGAAGAGTTTCGTATCAACAAAAATGATTTCGAGCTTTTCAAAACGCAGTTTATGCAACGGAAAAATCCAAAGTGAAAAGAAGCTCTTCTGAGCGCAGAGAAGTTCCAGAGTCGAATATGCCAGTACTGTATTATCCGGAGTGCTATGAGTGGCTCCGTCGGCATCTGCTCCATGTCACTTTAGGGAAACTAGTTCTGCTTAAGTTTAGAGGTGACGGTCGACGAATATTTAACTTGTTCAGAAGGTCACGTGACCTCGGAATTGACCTTGCTGAAATTTGTCAACTTATTAGGATCTCTAGACCTTAGTAAGCGTCATGGTTTTTAGGCGTCGAGGCGGTGTCGCCCTATGACTGGGCCTAGGCTTATCTAACTACTGGAATGGCCTCTGGTGTAGGCCTATATGGTATTAACGGAGACTTGATATAACTTAAGGAAGCTAGGCCTAGCCTACACGTATGATACAGTTGGCCGAAGCTTTACTTACAAGTGGAGCCGGGGATTGAACACCCCATTCAGCCTAACGTTAGGTTACATCTTCCGTCCAACAACGCTCCGCTGCATACCATGCACGCAAGCCCCTTCGCTTCACTCACTCAATCACGCTACGAGTGTAATTTACTGTTAGGCCTATGGGCTATGGGCTATGATAAATTAAGTTTGGTTTCATTTCAATCAGTATCTGTATTTGGAAGGAAAGATTACTTGGGTAAGTTTTTATTCTCGCCTCTGAAGTGGATTTTTTGAGAGCTCACCATGGTAAACATGTAAGATGCTCACATCAAGTGGAGTCAGTATAGGAGAGACTGTGGTTGCATTTAATCTCCTGTGCCATAGGCCAGAGAGAGAGAGAGGGAACCAATCAGTTTTTTTTATTTAAATGATATGCCATTTGAGTCAGATTAAAAGAGGAGCCTTCTGCTGCTGCCCTTCTCTAACTGACTGGCCTTTCATTTTTCAAAATATGTTGACTTTTCCACTCTTGGCCAAATTCCAAGGAAATGTGGTTCATTCACTGTTAATCACATTTCATTGTTAGTGTTTCAAAGTTAAGGCCAACAGTGGCTTATCAGTCGGTTTCTGGTTTGAATAGCTGTTAAAAGCATTACTGTAAATCATGGACAAAAAATGGCAGTATTAGGTGCAGTACTAAACTGGTATCTCTGGTTGTTCACCTTATGAATATGGCAGCCACTGAATCCATGTGGTTTTGGTCATGTGAACTTCAATAACCAATCTATGGGTAGAGGTAATTGAATTGGTGACTTCCAGACTTGTTGAGGATTATATGATGCATTAGCAGTGCTTCTGCATTTTGTTTCATCCTTCTCCTATCAGACATTGCAAGTGAACTTTTCCCTTTCTAGCATATGCCTGGATATTTAACAGTTACCCCTCTCACTTTGACTTGGGGTATGACTACCTGGCTATTACCTGGGTCCAGTCGGACCCCTATCAATGTGATTTGGAGTATTTCCACTTGAATCTGGTTATTTAAGTAAACATTGCCACCATCTTTGAGATATACTAGTGAGACCTGTCACCAAAAATTACAACCTGCAGTAAAATATTTTGTTGAATAATATTGAAATGAGGCTGGTGTCTAACCAAATCCCAGCTCATAGTGATACAATTAAGCTCTCATGCATGTTTCCCTTATTCTTGCTTGCTTTCTAAGCTCTGCAAAATTAGAGGCATGAAAAGCATTGCCAAAATATGTATAGAGGACTAATTGGCATTGGCATATTCGCTATTCTTATTGCTTGTCTGGGAATTCCTTGAAGGAATCCCTCTCCCATTTTGTTTTGCTCTCCCAATTTCTCTGTTATCACCTGCACTCTATCTTCCTCTCAAATTTTTTTTTACTATTAATTTATCACATAAAAAATATTGCTGGATGGAATTTACTTCAATTCAGTATATTTCTTGCCTCCCATTCATCTTGCAATGGTGAGATGATGTTTATCCCAACACTCTTACAGAATGTGTATCAGCCTTTGAGTATTATTTCTTTCTGGAGGTAGAGATATAGGCACCTAATGAGTGGTCCTCCACCTTCTTATATGTTGTAGAGAATCCTAGTGATGGAGTCACTTATTCCTGTGCATGACAGTTGAATCATTTAGGTGCTTTTCAGCATCTTAAAGTCATTGTGCTTTATAACAATTTCTCTCATTGATCTGTTTCACATCATTCATTTACAGCTTGTACCTCTGGATATGTGTTTGGCATCATGTTAACCTGTGTAGTTGCCATAGGCATGAGGCCTTCCGGAAAAGTAATGGAGATGCACTTTGGCAACTGACACAGGACAAGGCAATATGCCAAGGTGTCTGCACGTGACATACAATTCCCCCTTAGGCCTATATATAGGCTGTCATATGAGAATTCAATGTTAGGCTCTGCTAGGCTAGCCTAGACCTGCCATCTTGCATGCATGTTTATGAACAGTGACTTGAGCTGGATATACAAGTGTTGATCAGTTAATGTTAGGGCCTTAGCCTTTGTGCTTTTGCCATAGAGGCCTCATGCAGAAGGTTGCCCTCACTCCTGTCTATATTAATGGTGGTTAGATTTCGCCATCCCTTTTTTAATGGAAAGTATAGGTCTCATTATTTTTCCTGACTAGACTCATAGACCCTGGAGAAAGAAGGAAGTGTCCTACTTTTGCAGATCATATGCAAACATGAATACAAGTTACAGAGATGCTATGATACCCTTACATTACTATTGGAAGGGAATATGGGATGAGAGAATGGGTGGAGGAAAAGAGGGAATTGGAAATGAGCATTTGTGCTGACCTTTACCCCACTGAACCTGACTTTGAGGTGCATGCCTCTGTGTTATGTTTTCTCACAAGATATAGAGTGAACACTTATATCCATGTATTGAGTGGCATTAATTGGCCCCTGTTTGATGGAAACTATGTTCAGAACTGCATTAATCTATACCTTTAAAATGACATCTGAACCATTATGCAAGGCATTTTGTGTCTATGTATGTTCTATTTTCTGGGTTTCTTTACTCCAAGCAAAAGGCTCATTAATGATTAAAGTGCACATAATTTATTTTCAATGAGTTTTCGCCTGCAGATTTCATTGATTAAATATGAGATTGTTTAGTATAGCATTGACAGAAGCCTCAAAGTGCACATAAGTCAGAGACCTATTATGGTTTTTTTTTTTGTTGTCATGGCATTGAATGGTGGTGACATCAATATCTTCTGATTTTTTCATTATTTACTGTTCTGCCTAACGTAGGTCTATCATGCCATGGTCTTGGCTTCTTTCTTTTGAATTCCTTGATCCGTATTTTTTATTCACTGCAGACCAAGTGTAGCTCCGGGTATAACATGTTGACTGCACATGTGTCATTTATATTGCAGGTGGTATTGCTAAAGGATTATAGTAGAGGCAACGCCTTCCCCATGAGACTCTTAAAAAGTGGACACTAAGTGCCGAGTTAATGTGGGCAAGTGAACCGTTCTCAGAATGGTGTTCATGTGACACATTTTTGTGTATCTCCTCCTGGGAGCAAGAATTCTTGGTTTCTGCTAGTCGAATTCCATTGTGCGATATTCTGCTTAGCACCAGGGAGAAGGTTCAGGCCTAGGACCTGGTGGAAATGCAAACAATCAAATGTGTGGTCGTAGGCGATGGAGCAGTTGGCAAAACCTGCCTCCTCATATCCTACACAACAAACAAGTTCCCCTCAGAATATGTCCCAACAGTAAGTGTGCAACCATTGTAATTTAGTCTTTAAAATATTTCTTCTCACTGCTACTTATTGTTTAGCACTCCAGGTTGCCTTTTGTGACCTAGAAACAAAGTATTTGTCTCTCAGCAGATCTAGTAAATATTTTTTTTAAACCATCCTTGTAAGGGGTTACTCAAGTTGCTTGGGAGATATAAGTGGTCAATAAAAATTCATGACCACAGAGCAATGTTAGTCTGATTTATTTTATTTTTATCAGTCATTATAAAGTCTGCTGTTCCAGGTAAGAGTTGCTGTGTTTTCATCTAGAGATAAGGTTTTCTGATAGGTGGAAGATGATGTTGGAAGCATTTTTGTAACAGTATTAAAACTTGGTTCTTGTGCTAGAGGTGGGAAAAAAACTGCCAAGGGATACAAAACAGAGAGAAAAATATGATATAGAATAAGAAGAATACAAGATGAGAGAAGACTGACGGCTGATAAGGGATTGGGTAGAAGGCACCATTCCTAGTGACACTGGGAAGGCATCTGTCAACTTTTGAGAAGATGGACAATAGGATCTCATGTCCTTTCTTTCCCCAAGCTTAGCATATGAGTGTGATATCATAACCCTTGATGTCAATTGCTTTCTTCCCATGTACAGTAATGTGTACTATATACCAAAAGTACTGTGTGGTCATTCTTCAAAATTATCTACCTTTAAGAAGTAATTCAACCTCTGCCTGCCATTGTGTTTCTTCATCCATTGTCACTGTTTCGGGTGCTACATAGGCCAAAAATCTCTGCCATTCCCATTGTTGTACCATAGTCACATGAATTCAGAAAAGAACGAAGGTATGCTTATGTTACTGGGGCAGCTGGCTGAGTAGTCTCACAGTCTTCAAGTATCTCATGGGAAAAATTGCAAAAAGTTTGATTTCTTCACATAGTAAAATAGGATTACACCACTAACCCACCTAAGCTATCTGTCTTCAGAGGGCCCATATGTTTCATTCTTCAAAACAATTGGAGGCTAAGGCTTGTAAGAAGTAACTAAAGAAGTAACTCCTAACCTAACCAACTTCCTAACCAAGTGGGAGAGAATGTCACACTATTTTGCTTTTCCATTTTAGTTTGCTGTCATCTAGTTGAACCTGCCCTGGCAGCACTGCTTGTCTCACAGACTGTCTGAACAAAGAGAAATAAGACTATGAAGTTGTGGTGGAATATGACAAATGATTTCTGGTTTTTTGAGTCAGGAGCTATTACTAGCTATTACTGACAATAAACATACGTATATCTCATGTATCTCTAAGGCTGAATTCAAACTATAGAATTAGTCCTTGTGGTCATTGTGTTTTGCCTCATGAATTGAAGTTTTGACAACTTCAAGAAAGGCACTTGGGATTTAACTCCAGCTAAAATCAAACTATTAGGACTGTTTTTGCAACGTCTGACAATATTGGTCTACCAAGTGATACAAAACTTCCTACTATGGATTCCTTTTTTTTATATTTAACTGTTAGTAATTGACACTTTAATGGTCACTGGCTCAGTACAAATGCTGAGACAGGAAAACATACAAGTTTGTTTTACATATTCCAAAAGTTTTGAAGAAGATATTTTTAAAATTGACAACTTCATAGTTTTTTTTAGGAAGCTTAATGCAACTTTCCAGCATTTTCCAGGAAATGCTCAATCAGCAAAGTGTCAGTCTAGTTTCCAGCTCTTTGCAGAAACCACAGGGAATGTGATGCAAATGCCAAGTTTCTGAAACATCAATTAGAGAAAGGTTCATTAAAGTTACGAAACTTGAGGAGAGATTGCTGAGAAGATAGAAAAATCTACATAATAATGAATGGAATTGTTTTAATGTTGAACTTCTATGAACAAATGCATTTGCCTATCATGACAGTAATGATAGTTGCCATGCAATCTACTTGAAATATAAACTTTGCTCTTTGATTGGTGCGGCTTGATGTTGAAATGACTGGGCTTATTCTTCCAGGTATTTGACAACTATGCTGTCACGGTGATGATAGGAGGAGAACCTTACACACTTGGCCTTTTTGATACTGCAGGTAAGCAGGATGTCTTATGGTATACCTTTCAAGGTTTTCATGTGTTGGGATTATTCAAAGGATCTCATGAGACTAAAAATTACATGTTGGCCTTGCTGATGTATATTTTAAGCAATACCAAAAGATTTTCTAATTCTGTTTCATTTATACAAATATGAGCATTATTGGAGGTGAGAGGATAGAATGGACCATTTTGAACATCTAAAAAATGTGATATTACTATGTAAACTGACTATGGTGTTACCTTGAGTATTCTCTTGAGTATAATGATGTGTAATTGCTTTAGTAGTTTTTCTGATATATTTGATAAAAGTGCGATTTTTAAATTACTTTTACATTCAATGCATGTGAAAGTCATTCATGAAGATATTGCTTGATTTCCACAAATGCTTCTCTTTACTTTCCAGGGCAAGAAGACTATGACAGGTTGAGGCCGCTCAGCTATCCTCAAACAGATGTCTTCTTAGTGTGTTTTTCTGTTGTGTCTCCGTCATCCTTCGAGAATGTGAAGGAGAAGGTGAGTTTTTTTCCATTAACATAAAGGGGATGGTTGTGTTGGGTATGACAATCTTAATCAAGCTAATGCTTCCATAATGCTTGTCGCATACTGTGTTCATATACTTGTGATTATTGTAAGAAGCATCAGAAATTCTAGAGCTATAGGAGTATTGGATTCTCCTGTATCCTATATTCTTTTCATAGATGCTTTAATGCTGACACATCCAATATAGCTAATTCATATCATCCCCTTGACAATTTGGCATCTCATAAAAAATAATAATTTTTTTTAGCAGCAATATTGTCTTGAAGTGCATTTCTTTTTTTTCATTCAACAGAATTAGGAACTATAGAGCACTTAGAAAAAAAAGTAATATCACATTTCCATATAATTACTTGGACCTCTCTTGCACCCTTGTCTTCTTTCACTCTTCATAGTAATGATTGCTTAAGGTCTGAAGCACAAGAAGTGCTCAGTAAGATACAAGAAGATATCCTCATTGTTCTCAAACAATAAGGATGATTCTCCATGTGGGAATAGGTGAAACAATGATGTCCCTGATTAATCAAAGTGGCTAATATTTAATGCAATTGTCTGTGTAAGGTATTTCATGGTGCTGCATGGAACTGCCTGGAAAGCACAATACAAAAATAACTATGCAGCATGAAGTACCATTATTTCTTGCTCTTTTTGTTCCAGGGTTATGGTCTGAATTAAAATTGTAAAAGCTGTTAATAAAATAAGTAAGTGTGGAAGTAATGGGAAATATGTTTGTGATCTCATTGATGGGAAGTCACTAGCCATCCTAGTCTTTCATCTATCAAGGATCATGGAGTGGCAAGTGCTCCAGCATCTGAAGGTTTTTGTGTTGATCACACCAACCCACAGAAACCTCTCACTATTGTCTGCCTTTGCCATTTCTATTGAGGCAATCAAGTTGAAACAGAAATTAGCTAGAGAGGGTGCTTTTTCTATTTTATGATGTATTATGATGAACAGGGTGTTCAGTAAAGAACAACATTTTAAATATTGTATATGTAGTAACTATTTAACCAACTGTCTCATTTAAGAAAAACCTCCTTTTTTCCTCCTGTCCTTCCCCAACCCCCACCACTCAGCCCAAGCAAGAAAGTTTTTCTTAACTGAGACAGGGTTAATGTGTGTAGAGAATCACCTTGGAATAAGGCCATATCTTTCCTCCAAACTCCTTTTTTTTTATTGAGGAGCCACTGCACTTTTGAGAGCAAGAGAGGAGCATGATCTCTCTTGAGATACCAAGATCCAATCCTCTGAGAGTATTTTTCAGTTTTCTCAAATCCTCTTTTTGAGAAAGTTATTGCAAAATACTAGATCATCTTGTTCCACAAAATTGATTGATGGATTGAGGAACATGCCTGTTGAATTGTAATTTTGTATATGTACCAAGGAGAACTCGCTGAAGTGCCCATATTGGGTTGCTTAATCCATTGGCATTTGAATTATTACACCATTTGCGTACCATATTTTATCATTAATTTTGGAAGATAATTATTACTTTACAAATTGCAATATTTAAGAACTAAGCTTGAGTTTGAACACAAGGCTTAAAACTGCTTGAAGGTGGTTCCACCAACTCACTGAAGGACTCATTAAGAATTTACATCCTAGTAATGATGTACAGTGCCTGGTAGTGATACCTTGAGATGGTCTCATAGATCAATGTCAATGGGTTAAACCCTAACAAGGGTCAGAAAATTTTATTCATCATTATGCTAAAAAAAATGGAATGAGAAAAGATATAGCCTCATTATTCGATGTTCATATAGTCAGTCTACTTCTACAAAACAGTTACCTTAGATGCAATAATTTAAGAAGTTGCTCATTGTTGGTCAATTTCTGGGCATCCTGCATTTTCAGGCTTTATTGTTCAGGAGGAGTGACTTACTGTAGAACATTCTGTAGATATCTGTCGCTTCCATTGTTTGCAATCAGTCATTTCCATGCTAGTTATGTGTTAAACATTTTCAAAAGAAGTTTTCTGCACTGAAAAGTTGTACTTTACTGCAGGCCAATTTCCTGTCTGGATGTAATAATGATAAAGTTAGGGAAGATATGAAGAAATGTAAGATAAGCCTGGCAACAGAGAAACAGAAACAAGTTGCATTGACCACATATTTCAAACCTGCTTAAATGCACAATGCAATAATTTTCCATTACTTATCTTGATTATTCTCTTTGCTGCTTTGCAGTGGGTTCCTGAGATAACTCATCACTGTCAGAAGACACCATTCCTGTTAGTGGGCACTCAGATTGACCTGCGAGATGACCAGGTCACATTGGAGAAGCTGGCCAAGAACAAGCAGAAGCCCATCAGCATGGACCAGGGAGACAAGTTAGCCAAGGAGCTCAAAGCTGTCAAATATGTTGAATGTTCTGCCCTCACACAGGTTAGCATGTCAACTCATTTCTAGTCTTCAATTTTAAAAGTTTCCTAGAAAACTTTGCTGGGAAACTAAAGACAAGTCATGGTTCTTATTTGTCTTTTGCAGAAAGGGCTAAAGAATGTGTTTGATGAAGCCATACTTGCAGCCTTGGAACCGCCAGAACCAGTAAAAAGAAGGAAATGTGTGCTACTCTAAGGAGTCCCCACTTCAAATCCATTTTCCCACTTCTTTACTTCTGTCACCCTTTCTTGTCTGTTCTGTCATGTATTTTCCTGCCTTGTGTCCTCTTCTGGAATCATGAAAGCCATCAAGTCACAGGTTCATCCATTGAGCTGCTCAGTGAGTGACTCATTGATCTGGTTTCATTTGAAGGTGATCGTGACTAAAGCAGTACTTCATTGCAGATTTTTTTCTGCAGGGATGTGATGGCTTTTTTTGATGGCTTTTAAAAAAATGCCATAATAGAGTGCAACTCCTGGCTGAGACTCGGAACTCCGTGAATGTGTGCAGTACGTGTTGCTCTGTCTTTTTCACATCTCTGGGTGTGTCTCCTCCGAATGTGCTGGGGATGCAGTCATTCATGCCATCGATGCAGTCTATTCACAGTCTTGGCTGAATCCTCTCCTCCTCACGTGGACGTACCATCTGCGACTGCCGTCGGCGGCGAGGTTTATTTTTCTACTTGGAATGGTGTGCAGAGCATGCCAACATCTAGACCTGCCCCAGACTTCCATGCCTTTTCCAATTTACAACAGCGCTGTAGCTTGGAAGGTTTTTCGAGAGTGTGTTTTGCATTCCATTGCTGTGGCTCTTTCTGCTTCTTGACGTTGTCATGTGTCACGACAGAAAAGGCTTGGTGCTTGGGGCAGATTCTCTACAGGCTGGTGCTCTGAGATCCATTTTTTTCTCTCTCTGAGCCACTCTTGTATCTTTGAAATTTCTGGCCGTGAATGCTTGTTTCGTCTTTGATTTCACTGCTCAGCCATTTGTGATTGACGTGATTGCTCGCTCGCTCTCTTCCTTGAAGATGCCTTCACCGAAATGGGCGGCTTGGAAGGAGGCATTGGAACCCCAGTGAAATGAAACAGAAAAACAGAAACAATTATGGACATCATTCACATTGTATGCATATCCTTCTAAGTATGATTCTTGTCACACGTTCAGAGATATGGCAAAACAAATCATTTCTGCTCAGTGCCAATGTTATTCTGGTTTTTCTTTATCTTCTTTTAATGTTCTTCTGAGAAATATTTTTTGTCTGTTCTACACTTTTTATTACAGTTATTTTACATTGTTGCTGGTATTTCATAATGGGTTTTTTCTCTGGTGTTAAATGCAGCATCTGCTTAGTTATGTGCCTCTGGAATGATGCATGTTGGTTTGAGAAACCGACAGTTCCCAATTTTCTGCATATTTATTTATTATAGCCAACGAAGTGATGACTTTCTTCTTCTCCTGAGCAACATCTCATTCATGGAACCCTCTTCTTCCTTCTTTCCCCTTCCACCCCCTGTAAATGGAAGGTGTATAGATTTCCTATAGTGATGGGAGATACCTGTGTTTATATTACAAATCTGACATGCCTTATTGAAGCCCTCTGTTCCTTCAGACATTTGCTTTTCTCCCCCCATGTTACATCCTGTAGTGGCAACAGGGACCCCAAGATTCATTATGCAGCAATAAAGTCTGGGCGGGTATCAACATTCTTTCTCTCTGCATTGTCGAGCGGTTTACAGGAGCAGCGATGGCTGTTCGTCTGTATCGTCGTTTACAGGTCACAAGTCCCTGTTCCATGTTTCATTAGGTCTGCTTCACTTGCATGAAAAGCTAAGTCAAAACCCATGGAGAAATTTCCAGGTCCTTTTCACGATGAAGGTGATGCATCCAAGAAGTATGCAGAAAGTAAACATGATCATCTTTTGCAGGTTCTTCATTTCGTATATTAACAGATTTTTGTACATGCCAAAATATTACAATAAAGATTAATGTTGGAATTTTTCCATGTCTTCATATCCTCTAATGCTTCAAGTGGGGATCTGCTTCAGACTGCACAAAGGTGGCATAATTCTTCCACTTGAAAAATTGGCCCTTATTCTGAAGTGCCTTTTCAAGTAGCAGAACCTGTTCAGTATTACAGATAGTGCTCCCTTATCAGACTTTAAGGTTGGGTGGGTATTGCTACACTTTACAAGGTAATTTTATACGGTGGGACAGCACTGCCATGCTCTGTTGTTGGGGTCCAAATTCCATTGACCCACTCCACTTGCTTTTGGTTTCTAAACTGTATCCATGGCCAGTTATGATTATTTCAAAATAAAAGATAAAGACTGCAGGGACCCTAGTTCTGACCTGGAGGGTTTATTGACCAGTTGCACAAGTGCAAAGGAGCACCTTGCTTGATGTGGGATTTGTCTTCATGCTGTCTTAGCATGGCAGAGTTTCTGCTGGCATTAACCCTTTAATGCTTGGTGTAGCAGATATACATTCTGAACCAAAGAATATTAAAATAATAAACAACAATAATAAAATGCAAATTTAAGCACAGCCATCAATTTTTTTGGCCTTTAACTTACAAATTTGCAGAATACTTTTTTTTTTCCTATTCCTTTGTTCCAGGGTCTAAGTGAAACCCACCAATTTTTTTCTTGCAGAAAAGGAAAAATTGCCAATAACCCTTCACATCATCTTTTCCAAAACAGGGAAAGTTTCCCCCCCCCCCCCCCTCCCCAATTTGGAAGTTCAGAGGAGCCAAACAATTTATTGTTGCTTATTGTTCTAATATAGTTTGGTTCAAAATGTGGCCTATTTGCTACACCATGCATTGACCCCTTAAGTGGGCATGATGTATATATTCACCATGATGAAATGCTCCGTAGTTGGGTTTGAATTATTTTGTCCTTTATTTTGAGTTTGAGTTAAATATGAACTCAAATTAGGAGTATAAACTTGGAAAGGGGCAGTACATTTTTTGCACAAACACTAATCATTACTCTCCTCAGAAGAACTACAGACTCCAGTGGTATACTTCCATCCAAGAAATTCCCCACTTAATGGGTTAAAGGGTTAAATTGCTCTTCATAGGAAGCTTTGTGCAGGGAATTTGATGCACATAAGTGAAATATAGGAAAATACTTCTGCATTGGGAAGATAGCATTTCATATACATCATGAGGTGGACTCAATCATCTTGAACTGTTCCACGGTTATTAGGCTCTCAGAATAAAGCAGATCCTATTGCAGGTAATTGAGCAATAGTCAATGGACAGGTGAGATGCCATGAGTTCGCATAGGACAACCCCAGTTGCCTCAAGGGCATCGACTTCATTCCTGCAATCGGGTGGCTCCAGCATCCATGGGTTCCCATCCTCACCGGCACCCAGTACTCCAGCGTCTCGTGGTGTTTTTCACTCCCTGCTGTCTGCCAGGGATGTGACCATCTGCGAGCGCGAGGGGGAGCTCATCACAGCTCCCAATCTGGACACAGTCTCCGGTGAACATGTGGGTTTACTTTAAAGGTTTCACTCAATAAAGGGGAAGGATTCTGTGTTTGGAGCCCAATGCACAGTGTCTGTTTCACTTAGAATTTGTTTAATGCCCTTGACTGCAGTATGTATGGCCTTTTTTTGGAGCTGCCTAAATTTTATTTGTGTATAAATTTTATTATAAGTGAATACCTTGCCAAATTTATGTAAATGAGACCTGGACTGTGCCACAATGTAAAAATGCATCACAAATTATTGTATTAGTTTATTCCTCTGATATGACAAGGTTTTCTGTTGAAATGCTGCTCTGCTTCTTTCTGTTGCTGTTAGCCAGTTAGGATGTGATGCTGCTAAGACCTCTTTGTAAGGCTCAAGCCTCAATCCAAGAGTAGTATATTTCTGCTTCTCAATAACCTTACTGTAGTGTCCAGGCCAGCTTTGAATTCAAGTTTTTATTTATAGTTCTCATCCTGGTAAAGTAAAAAAGTACTTGTTTTTAGTGCATCAGAGTAGATTAGTAGGAATAATGTTATGAGATTTTGAAAGTTTTCACTTCATCAATCAATGGAAATAAATATTTCCCTTGATGTAGGTGTTTTAGATATACTGGAATCAAATGTCCACATTTGTGGATACCATGCACTAACCTATTGAATTTGTATTTTTCTTAGCATTTTGTAGCTTAAAAAAATATGATTCAGTGAGTGGTCACAACTTTTCAAAGGAATCCAATGGGTTATCTCATTTTCTTGAATTTCAAATTTCTTGGAAATATTATTTGCACAGTACATTAAAATGTTATTCCTGGGTTGAACTAATTCTCATGTCATGATATTGAGAGTAATACATCGGAGATGTGTCTGCATTTTGTGATGTTCTTCAGTTCATTGCTATGCCTCCCTGATTACAATGGCTGATATAGAAAGAACAGGCTGCATATTCAAGCTTTCATCACTTAATGTGACTCCCCCCTTTGTTACCAGGCCTACATAGGAGATGGTTGAAGAGGCAAAACTGTTAATGGGAAACTTTAGTTCAGTGTGACCCCTGAACCATTAGGCCCATGGAGCACAAGGATTGCTAGATGGCACTCCTCCCAGTTGCTAGTGTGAAGCTTGTGCAAAGCAGAGAGTGGAGGGAAGGACTTCCTCTGTGGACCTCCACAGGATGGTTGTGTGCCTTAAAAAGTGGTCTCACTGTTTCAGAATGTAGAACTTATTCCATACAGGAATTTTGCAAAGCATTATTTTTGGACAAAAACATGGAGTCCACTCTACAAAACAGTAATAATGCCTCAATATTCTTGCAAAACCAATATTGAAGTGTATTGGTTAGTATTGTAATAATTATTTACATGAATAAGGGATGAATATTGGAATAATAATGAGGAATTAGTAATTAGCAGTTAATATTGGACACTATATAAACTGGGTGATGAATAATACCTATCAATGGCAGTACCTAGAAAGTAGCAAAATGTTTGTGTTATATGTGCTGGTAAACATTTGACTTCATGAATATGCTGTCCATATTCATTTTCAAATACTTGATTATCAGCATTATAATGGGTGACCTGCTCTAGATCTGATAAACCGATCTGGTTTCATAATGGGTGTGTAGGGGAATTAGGTTATCTTGGTGAAATTGATTCCCTTGGGGACCATTGGGAGATCAGATCAGTTTGAGTTAAACAGATCTGGCACTTGTTGCCTTATATCAAACATTTTTTGAGTATTGAATCATTTTGGTTTTTGGTTGGTTTTAGGTGTCACTGCCAGCCATTTCAGTGCAGCGAGATCCTTCCCAGGTTGGGCTTCCACCAGTATCTTCGAGATCTGCCTTCATTTCGCAACAGGTCTCGACCTACAAGCAGGCCTTCTATGTTTGGTACGTCTTGTACTCGTACTGTATTCTTTGGCTGGAAAGGAAATCGTGGAAATATGTGCTTTTAGGCAAGAAATAGGTATGTTGGAAGCACTGGAGGTGATAGCCAAAGGTGAATCCAAAGATGAAGTCCATCCATGGATCAAAGCTCTTGCAAAATCTGCACTCTGGATCCTCAAATGGGCTAAATGGCAGGTGTGTCTCTTGCTTCTGAGTGATCTTTGACCAATCCATATGCTTGAGGATTTACCCACAACTTTGTTTTCTGCTGTGCACACAATATGGCATCTTTTCTGTTTGAATGTTGGCTGGTAAGTGTTTATGATCTCGTGAAAGGGTGTGAATGAACACAGCATGGGGGATGTGGTTCCAGTGGAAAACTGGGTCGAGGGGCTGGTGCGATGTATAGCCTGGCACCCACACGTGGACAAGCTGGCTGTGGCCCTCCACAACGAGTCGGTCCACATCTACAAAGACTCCTCGTCTCCACGTCACGTTCTCAAGCACAAGCAGCAGAAACTTATCACTGGTTTGGCATGGAAGTGAGTCACAAGTGCAGTCGCGTTTTTTGCCTAAACATTCTGCCGATGATATATTGTGAGTATTTTACATCCACGAAGGCCTCACTCGGCATCATTCCTCGCTGTTGCCTGTCGGGAGCACATTCTCATGTGGAATCTGGATCCCACTTCCCTGGCAACTCGTGTCCCAGGCAACTGTGCTTCTCTGCTTTCCCAACCTGGCCATTCTCCTATTGTATGCATTCAATGGAGCCCCCAGGGAGATCTCTTGATGAGTGGGAGTTTGAACCAGGGCAGTCCATATGTTTGGGATGTTTCCATGCAGCAGAGCACCCCTCTGATGCAGGCCTGGAACCAGCAGGTCGGCTATCTTCGTTGGTCGCCCGACGGTTCCAAGGTTCTTGTGGCCACCATGTCTTCCACCTTCAGGTAAGGTACCATTATAGCAGTTACTTAGCTATGGGTCATTCTTAAACTTTCTCAGGACCAAGAGAAAATGTTTGATGTTTTTTAAAATTCAAAATGGAAAATATGTTTCAAGTTTTTCTTTTTCAATGAGATTTCCACTTTGAATATCAGTCCATGATTGTCTTCAATATGAAGTCAGATAATAGAAAAGGTGAAAAGGGGTGTCCACTTCCTGCCAAAACTCAAGTGTGTTTTTACCACATCAGGGTGTTCGAGACGGAGACGTGGACGTGGGAGCGATGGAAGACGGTGAAAGGTCGAGTCCGAGCGGGAGCCTGGAGCCCGTGCGGAAAGCATCTGGTCTTTGCCACCGATTCTGATCCCGTGCTTTTTGACCTCAGCTTTCAAGCTCCAAACGAAACAGCCAAATCCAAAGTGGCTGGGTCTGAAGCTGCACAGCAGGTTGCCAACTTCCAGCATGCAGCTCTGTCTGATGGTCATTCCCAAGATTCAAAGTGAGGAATTTTTTTGGAGAAGCCATGTGTCATTCATGGACTTGTTGAATTTATCATTTGTATTTTCTGCAAACGGGCCCAGTAGTCGAGTGTTTGCGATCGAATGGGACCCCAAAGGCGAGAGGCTGGTGGTAGGACTCCAGAAATGGGAAGCCCTTCTTCTCTATCGAACCAGAGTGTTCCCTAGTGTCGGCCTTCAGTTCTGGTGAGGTGTTCTCGTCCGAATCGCCGATCCATCGTATTGTCGTTGTGGAAAAAGTAACGTTTTTGCTTGTGTTCCAGCGGCATGATTTACGGTCCCATGGGTCAGGTCCCACAGTGCATCCAGTTCAAGCCTCACTTTGAAGAAGGAGCCCTCCTTACTGTAGTGAGCATCCACTCCTTCTCTCTGGTGCTTTATTGATTGAGGCATTCTTAACCTCTTCCATGCTATCAACTGGTGAGACCTACAATACCCTTTTCCCTGTAGCACACCAGTGATGGGTCTCACCCGTCTGCCAACTTTACTAATTTTGGCAATGCTGCTGCTCAGCTGACAAGTGTTGGCAGTCATCCAGTCGTGTAACCAGCCACGTGTTTGGTCGTTCTGGTGCAAGTTGATTGATCGTACTCCAGCAGCAGCAACCCCTGCCAGCAAAACATATCTGGCGCAGAAAGGGTTATTAATCTGTACAGTACCTTCAATGTGTATGCCTTACTAACAAATGAAGGAGATGTTTTCACTTGAAGTCATTGCCAAGGATAGTTTCACTCATTGTGCACCCAAATCCAGGATTCACTTGGCCATTATCACTACTTCAATAGTTTTGATACACTGGCCAACTGCAGGAGGGCCAGGAAACTTCTCTAATTGAAATGAAGGATACCTCTTGACCTTCATATCATGCACTGATGCAGCTGTCTACTATTAGCATTCCCAGCATCCTTCCCCTCAATCATATGATGTTGATTGATGGACTTTCACAGAGTCAATGAAAGAGTTGCTGGAGAATTAATATCCCCCAGTTAAGTGATTGCTGCACCATTAACTTATGTTGACATCCATCATATGTATAAATATGATATAAATGAAAGTGGAACCTTCCAGAATCTTTTTAAAAAAAATTTTTTAAGCAGGAGTCAATCTGAATGTTGCTATGCCAGGATAAGCAGAACTGTGACGAAATGCCTTTCTGTCCGTAGGCGTGGTGGAACGGAAGCATCCAGTACTTGCCTCTCTATTTTTTGCACGGCGAGGAATCGGAGAAGCAGACGATGGGATTCGGCCGACCGAGCGACGTGAGCACCCGCCTCCTCTCCTCTCCCGCTTACCTCCTCTCCCCCCAGTCCTTTCCTCCTCCCGACCCGGCCGGTCTCGTCGGGACCAGGTGATGACTCTTGTCATTCCATACGTTCACGTGTCATCGATTCGTTTGATCTGTCTTTTATGTGGTTATGTGGTGAACGAAAAAAAAAAATTCGAACGTTGGTTTGTGATTTTTTTCTTCAATGTGGACGTGGGGATGTTTAGTCAGTGGCTTTTCTTTCTAATTTATCGGGACCCGGCCTAAATCATTCGCTGTTGCAAAATATATTGCATGCCCCTATATTATCAACAGTTATGTCGAAAATTTCCTTGTAGTCTCTACCCTGCGGTGAGATGGGTTCGATAAGTAACTAGTAATTTACAGGGTGGCCCAAAAGTTCGTTGACTCAATTTTTCGCACTTTTAAGGAGCAAACAATTAACAAAACGACAAAAAAACTGTACTTATGCAATCGGTAGAAACTCAATAAACATATGTGCGAATCATTTACATTTGCTCCCCAAAGACAAATGCAGGTCTTCAATCTCTCGGGGAATTCATCCACAGCGGCACGAAGCTACCCTTGATGCAAATTCTTCCATTCTTTGACGAGAGCAGCTTTCGAAAAGTCAACACTACGATGGCGCTTAGAGCAGACCTTGGCCTCTAACATTCCCCAAACGGCGTGGTCCATCGGGTTCAGGTCCGGCGAGGAAGCCGGCCGTTCCTCGAGAAAAATTTCTCGGCACCATTCCTGAATGATGGCTTTGTGGGCCGGCGCCGAGTCTTGGAAAATTCCCAGAGCTTCGCAACCTGTCGAAGGACGTCCCTTCTGTAAAACTCGGCATTTTAACTCCTTTGTCGACGAAAACGAGTGGGGTGCGGCCATCAGCGGTGATGCCAGCCCAAACCGTCGCACTGGCAGATTTTTGTTCACGAGAAACATCGCGGACACTTGGAGAGGTGGAAGAGGTGCTGGTTGACCACAATGGGTCATTCTGACGGTTCGAAGGCACGGTGAAAATCTTTTCATCGCGGCGAACGGGACATCCCGATGGAGCCCAGTAGCGAGCCGCTGCTGGAGGTCTTTCCAACGGGAGACCCTGCCCTTCGCGACGACCTTCCCGAGAAGCTGGAGCCGCTTCGTTTCTTGCCTGGCTTCATCTCGAGAATTCGGGGCGCTATCGACGCGGTGAAAGCTCTCCGATGACGTTATCGATGTCGATTGTAATTTTGTTCGGTCGTTTTGCAATTGTCACCTGTTTGGCGGTCAGGAGCAGAAAATTCAACTAATTGAATAATTACTCAACTGCGGCCAGCGTCGACGCCATCTCGAAGTACGATTAAAATGAGTCATCACGGTATATTGTGATAAGAGTATGACGGTTTTCGTGGGAGGAACAACGGAGGACTTCGCCGTGATGAAACGAAAAGGGCCCGTACCGAAAGTCACTACACAGAGGATTAATTCTGGAATACTCTGTTTGCTCGGAATGCATGGAACACGGCTTTGGACTGTCTGGGCTGCATGACAAAGCATGAATCGATCGCTCGGCCGGAGGTCACGTGCTTCCCTGGCATGCGCCGCTTTCGTGCTGGGATGGAGGATGGAAGGGTGGAGGGGCGGAGGATGGAAGGCTGGAGGGATGGAGGGATGGAGGATGGAAGGGTGGAGCGCAATCTTCATCATGATTGACAGGCACAAGAGCGTTGAGTGGGAATGAGTGTTGGGGTGGTGTCAGGGGAAGGGGGGGACCCTTCCTTAAAAATAAATAAATAAATAAAAAAGAAGAAAGGGAAAATAGAAGAGTTTTCTGGGGTTCTGGAGGCCGTTTGGGGTCATTTCAGCGGTTCTCTCCAGCCAATCATTCGCTCGAATGGAATTGCAAGACGATTCTAATGACGGCCGGTCGCGGCATGCTTTTCTGTTCGCTTTGGGAAAAAAAAAAGCGTCTCTTAGCCAGATGCTAAGGCTCATAGGGATCGTATCGACACGTTCCGGGACTCGACCCCATGGGATCGATGTAATACGACTAATTTTGGCGCTGATTTAATTTCGCGATTCTTCGCGCCTCGCGGAAATAAAACGGTCGCGGGACTTGGTCGCTGCAATCGGTCGTCAGGTTGCCCCGGCCAGGTTGCCTGGGACTAGGCGGGCGAGATGGTGACCCGAGCCGCATTTGCAAGACACCCATGGCCAATGCCAATGCCAATGCCAATGCCGCCAGTTGGGTGCATCAGAGACGCTTCGTGCGTGTTTCCCAGGCTTTCGCCAGGAATAAATACCGCGAGGAAATGAGAATTTTTGCATTTTCGAGGCAGATCATCGGAAATAAATTGCCTTCGTTTCATCGAAGAAAAGTCTGGAAACACTCGATTGGCTGCATTTTAAATGCATTAGAAACTTGTTGATCCATCCAAAGTGCTCCGAGAACGCAAAATGCATCGCTGGAAAAGTAAAAAATATAAATACGTTCCCAATTAAAAATTAAATTCCAATTCCAAAGTTACAAATTCTTGAGGTAATTGGTAAATTATTTCCTAAATTATATCTTGAAACTAGCTCATTCCTTGGCAGCTCCTGGTATTAGTAAAAGAGTTTGGTAAACATGTATTATGATTTATTCATATTCGCACTATTTCTAAGTGAGAATTTCTCAGCTATCGGCTGACCTTGTCTTTCGCGTGGCGATGCCATCGTTTCCCTAGAAAAAAAAAAATTAATCCATTTCTGACTTGCTTCTCTGGTTCCTTGCCCAGGTCGGCGGAGAATCCGATGCACGTGCCAGATATACGAAATAGAATTTAAAAAAAATGAAAACAATTTATCTTTTGCCCTGTCGCAACTCCTGCGAGAGTCCCCAAGCGCACCGAAACGAAAGAAAGCAACGACAGAAAATTGACCGTGATTGCGGTAGAGAACCCCGAAGGAATTTTTAAAAGCTGGACGATAACACGAGAGTCGTAATCTATCGCACGCATAGTTATTTACGGTACACAATCGAATGGCAACAATAAACGTTAAGATGGCACTCGGCAGAGACGGCCGCCAGTCGCACTCTTCCCGCTTCGTCCGCCGACGGTTGTCGGCGCAAAGTCCACCGTAGAATCCGGCCAGCCTCGACTCTTTCCCGTCACGCGTGTGCGATGGATGATGCGATGAGCTTCATCCTTGCTGGGCGGAATCACCATCCTTTCTGTGCTTAATCCAGCAGCCGTCCACGACGGAATCACTCTGCCTTATCCCTCCCCGCCCCGACCTTGAAGCCGGCCATGACGGGACTGTCGAAGACGAAGAACGCCGCGAGGCACCCCGCCGTCGCCCCGACCCAATAGACGAGGACGTGCTCCGCGATCGTGTGACCTTCGCAGCCGAGCTTGAGGGAGGTCGCCAGGACTGGGTTGTAGTAGCCGCCAGAGTAGTTCAGCGCTAGATCGGGGATCGAGTCGTGCTTCTTTCATCGATCAGATCGATCGAAATTCATATTGGAATTTAAGTGATTGGGTTTCGAATTGGACCGGTTCGATCGAGTGATCGATTGAAACTCGCATTGGGAACTCAAGTGATCGATTGGAATTCATATTGGAAATTAATTGATCGATCGGAATTCGCATTGGAAATTAAGTGATCGATCGGAATTCGCATCGGACCGGTTCGAACAAAATTCGCCTTGGATTTCGGCGTCCAGGCGAAGCGGAATGAACCCACCGAGGCAGACGAGCAAGGTGGAGATGAAGGACTCGATGGCGGACGCGAATCGCGGCTCGTGTTCGTGGAGGAGGAGGGAGAGGAGGCAGCAGGCGAGGGTCCCCGTCGCCTCGATCGCCGTCCCCGTCCACACGCCGACCTGGTGGGTTTCAAATTGTTTAATTAGTTGGTTAATTAGTGTGTGGGGGGGGAGGGGACGTTTACTCAGGATTCAAACTTTTTTTGTATTACAAGAAAATTTAGCGACGTCGTCCATATCTCGACACGGAATCGTTTCCTTTTTTTGTATTTTTGCAGATTTTTTGCAACGTGAAGCGTTGACGAATAATGCAGTTTTCTGCTAAAATTACATCCGACTGCCAGGAAGTCGACACGCGTAGAATTCCCACCGTTGCTCGTAGAACGAGCAAAAAAAGGAAACAGCCCCTCGACGTGGAACGGAAATCGGCCACATGTCGACTCGCGATAAGGGAAATCGTTTCTGCTCGCTCCGATGCACTCACCTGCAAATCCGCCGTGCAAATCTCCTCGCGAGCTTTCGCGAAGTGCTCCGGGCTCAGCTCCAAATTCCAGAACCTCCACACGTACCTACAGAGGAAAGACAATCGAACCTCTTGCCAAAATCCCGATCATCCATTTCGACTTCTCTCAACCGTTTCCAGCAACCGCAAACGGCCAGAAACGACCACGAACACCAAAGAATCTCAACAAACGACAATAAACGACAAGAAACGACTATAAACGACAAGAAACGACAAGAATCTCAACAAACGACAATAAACGACAACAAACGACAAGAAACGACTATAAACGACAAGAAACGACGGAGACCCACCTAAACACCGTCCACCCCGCCAGCAGCTGCACCCCGACCTTCACGGCCGCATCCCTCGCCCTCGCCTTCCCCTTCAGGTAATCCGCGAAGTGAAAGTACGGACACGCCGTGGCATCCCCCCACTCCCTCGTCCACCATAGGACCAAGAGGAACAGCCCCACGCCGTACGGCCAGGCGCCGTACACGTCGGCCACTGCAAAACCGTCACAGACGTTCTCATCCGCGTCTTTTGCCGGTCGAACACGCGGCAGTTTTTTAAGGATTAATAATAGCTCGACGGTGGGGCCCAAATTTGCTAAATTAATTTTAAGTGAGGTTAATTTAATTGACTAAATTTTAAAATATATTTTAAAAGTAACGCAGATAAAAAATTCGGATCAGACCATTTTGCCTTTTAATTCTTACTTTTCCTTTTCAAAAAGGCGTCCCACAAAAAAAGAAATCAGGATTCAGTTCTCTCACCTTGCCCCTCTTACCCCCTCTTGCCCCCTGCCCCCCGACTCACCGGTCGACAACTCGTAACAGCACGAGCAAAGCTCGAAGGTGGCGATGAATTCGTTGAGCAGCAGCCGCAGGAAGGGACTGCGGACCCCGGCGTCGCACGCCCGACGCGCCGCCCAGCACACGCCGCAGGTCACGCCCACGAACGCCGCACTCGCGCTCCCGCAGTTCATTTCCCACGTCTCTCTCGTAACGACGCGACCTCGTGACGAGGGGATCTCGTAACGAGCGAGGGCTCGGCTTGGCTCCCTGCCAGCCCCGAGATTATTTCCAGCTCCGTTATACACTCAAAAATAAAGTCGAGAGTCATTGGCCGAAGACACGCACGCACGCACGCTCGCACGCACGCACGCACGCGAGACTCAAAAACGGAAAGGAAAAATTCAGAATGCAAGCGAGTCGGCATGAAACGCGTGCACGCCGTGCTCGTGCCTCGGGGCTTTTTTCTCTCTCGGAGGGCGTGGTCGCGTCCCGCTGAGACTCGGCCGTGGGGCTTCTTCGATAATTCATCAGATTCGTCTGTTGCACGGGGTGCGAGGTAATGAAGTCCTTGCAAGGCGTCGTGATTCCGTGCGGAAGTCAATGCTCAAGCGTCTTGTTCTACGAGCGCTGCGAAGTCACGAATTAGCTCATCTGTAGCGAGATGGCTCATCCGTTGTCAATCGCGTTTCTCTCAGCTGTGTAGCGAACACGTCTTGCTTTGTGCTTAATTTCGGGGAATATTTAAAAAAAATTTTTTTCTGTACTCTGCACTCGCATTTCGTCTCGCGACTCCATTCGTGCAGAACTCGGTTTCGTTTCACATTGCACAAATGCATCGTCTCGATCCCAGTTGCAGGCGATGCAAGGCGATGCAGCGATCACCGGCGCCGCATCGGCCTCGAGGAACGGCACGAGCGACGCTCTCGCGCGAAAACCCCTTACAAAAAAAGAAAAATGAAAACGAAAAGAAGACTCTGAAGAATCGGTCTGTATTCGCCCAGCGGACAACCCAGCGGACAACCCAACGGATCCCCCTCCCCCACCGGACCCTCACGACGGATCCTCACCGCCCTCCCTCCGCCGCCGCCACCGCAGGAGCGGCTGGAGCCCCCAAGCGCACAGCGAGATCCCCAGCAGACCCGAGAGCGTGAAGTAACTCCAGGTGTAGCTCCCGGTCCCCCGCTTCAGCCAGCCTGAGGAATCAACGGAATCGGGGAAATTAGAAATATATATTATTATTAATTATTAGCATACGGTACGCGAGGGCAACACATATTATCGGATTTAGTTCAAATCTCTTGCAGTTATTCAAATGGACTCTGATTCCTTTCATTAAAACAAGCGAGGAGTCTGATGGAACCGAAGCGAAAATTCTGAGTGCCATAAAATGTTCGCGCGAAAATGAGCCTAATCATATGTGATATAATATAAACAATACAAAAATTGATTAAACCTAAGTTAATTCAAATCTAAAATAATGTAACTAATATGAAAGGATAAAAAAAAGTAAAACTGAATGTGGTGCATTAGGTGCTGCTCGATACGACCTACGGAGCAGATGCTCCAGGCTGCCCCAAAAGATGTTATGGCAGGTTCCATTTCTCAAACAAAAGTTGATCGACCTAAGGGTCACTCCTGAAGGTCTTTTAATATTTGTGATATTTTTGCGCCGTTTGAATGTGACGCATTTTCAGACTTCCTCGTTCGATTTGATGGCACTGGGAATTTTTTTTATAATTGGACAAAATAAAAATATTGTTTGATTTTTTTTTGTTCAAGGGAGAAACTTTCCATTTTCTGGAAAGAAAAACTTGGAAAGAAAAGCAATAATCTTGAAAGGTTACCCATGCATCCCCCAGGGCCCAAAACAATATTCCCACGAGAATTTCGAAGGCTATCTCCCCCCCCCCCCCCCCCCCCCAGTATGGATGATTTGAACCAAGGTGTAGAAGAGTGGAAAGAAGCCATAAAATATATGTCACCCAATCCTGAGTGTAATCAAATAGTAATGACTTGGATGGATAAACATCCGAGGACGAGGACAGCTTCTCCAGCCCGAAGTAGTCGACCAGGACGAGGCCGGAGTTGCCCACGAAGCATCCGCAGCCGATCCCGGCCACCGCCACGCACGCGATCATCCCGTTGAAACTTGTCATCAGAGGGAAAACTGGATTCGAAGGAAAATGATGCGCTTAATTTCTCTTGATACCGTCTGGCTTACCGTAGCAACGACCTCATCTTGCTGAGAAAGCCTCATGTCATGAGTTGTCACGACTTTCTCACGAGATTTACCGGATTCGTCATGAGGTTCATGAGGAATTACCTTGAAGCCTCATAACTTTTTTTTACTTTCACGAGGAAGTCGCGAGGCTTCATGAAACCTCTGTTCGGAAATCTATCGTGGATCTCACGAGGTTTTTTTTTTTTTCCAGCAGGACAGGAGATCGGCCGTGAAGAATTTCAACGCACCTGTGATGGCGACGAAGAGCAAGAACATCCCGCCCAAGTATGCCTTCTGGGGCGCCACCCACTTGTCGGTGAGGGAAGGGGCCACGAGCCTTGCCACGAGGTCCAGGGTCGGGAGGACCGTGAGGAGGATGGCGGCCTCCGACTGTTCCAGTCCGGCGTCTTGGACGCTGATGGGGACGAGATAGCCGAAGTTGAAGTAAGCGGTCCAGTAGGCGCATTCCGTGAAGAGGACGTTGAGGTAGAGGGGATCGGCGAGGAGGCGGAACTCGAGGAGGGCGTAGACGCGGTGGAGCGCCTCGCCGAGGCTCTGCGGGTGGACGCTGAGGTTGCTGGTGCTGGTGTCCGTGCGCTTCAGCTGGCGGGCGTGGGGGCCTGGGCGTTTCGCGCGCTCGACGGGGGAGAAGAGCTGGGAGCAGCAGATGGTGTGAGCGGAGATCCCGGCGAAGAGCAGGGTCGAACCGCGGATTCCGTATCGCTCGATCGTGGAATGCTGGACGAACGGGAGGACGAGGCGGGCCGCGGGTCCCCCGGCGGTGTAGATGGCGTTCGCCATCCCTCGCCGCTTCTTGAAATACCGATTCACCAGGAGGAAGCTGACCCCGTTCAGCAAGCCGATCGGCAAGCCTATCGCATTCGAGATGTGCTCGCTCGTTGCGTCTCCGGGCACGAACTGAAGAAAATGAAGGAAACTCACCGCAGAGGACGCTGTAGGTGAAGAAGAGCTGCCATCCCCGATCGACGAGGGAGGAGAGGGCGAGGCCGAGGACCATCGTCACACTCGCGACCAGGCCCACGCTCTTGTGGGAGTACAGCTGCGCGAGCGGCCCGGACAGCAGGACTAGAGGACGAATCGAGGTCGACTTTTGGAAGACGACTTCGTCGTTCGAAACTTTTTTCTTTCGCATCCTTTTTCGCCGATTAAATGCAGTTGGGTTCTCTCCGTAAAATTAGACTTCTTGTCGATGCTAAATCTTTTCTCTTTCTTTTTTCAAACGAGGATTCCCCGATTCGTTCAGAATCTTCAAACAGTCGAGGAATGTAGGCTGACACCATAGAAACCAGAGACATGGTAAATATACCTGGACTGGACAGGCCAATGGAGAACGCCAAGCAGCCGCTCGCCGATCAGAAGGGTCAGCCGCCATCGCTCATGGCGTCAAATCGACCAATGAATGCATAGCTTTCCTATTCATGACGGCACACTACATTGAGTTGTGAAGCTCTCCACGAAGACCGCGTAGGCGTAGGCTTACCCGGTCTTCCGTGACGAAGAATGGTATTTTGAAAATTGATTAATGCTACCTATCCTGTTTTATTTTTCATTGTACTTAATATTGAGAGTGCAGAGTCAGTTTCCCATGCAGTGAGGCTCAGGGTCTTCACGAGGCTGAGAAAATTCCGCCACACTTAAGGTTAGACCTCGCAAACGGGTCAATAATTATCAAGCCAGATTCATCATTGTAAGACGTGATACCCGACCCAGTCGGTGGTCTTTCATCCGAATCCTGAACACATTGACCATGACTCCCTTTGCGCCTCAGTGAATCCCATGCCTCGTCCTCTCCTTGACGCCGTAATGGCCTGCCTGCCCTTCAAATCGGCGCGAGATCTTCGACCGTCATCTTACTATGTCTCTGATAGAAACGACGGGAGAAGCCTAAGTTTCCCCCTCGGGCTTCAATTCTTCGGCAAGTGAACCTTCGAATCTCGTTCTTCGGATGAGAAAAACAGGTTTACACGTTAAGTTGAAGTGCTGAGAGAGACAAACAAGCGAAAGCAGCACTTTTGAGCAAGAAACGATCCCTGTATTTGGAACAATTATTTACTTACTTATCCTATTTGCCGTTAGACTCAATTACCGTCAGCCCTCGACATCTTCATCGTTCACTCCAACGTTGAACCAACTCGAGCGAAGGCTTCCCCGTCCTTCCACTGGGAAAAAACCGGCCTGAACGGCAGCGACGACACCATCAGCCTACTCGAGTGCTTCACTGGATGCTTCTGAGCGGGAAGTGTGGATCGAGGCTGTGCGTCAGGGCTGCTTGCGTTTCTTGTCGAAATATTTTTTATCCTGGCGTCTACTCCAGTTCTAAACTTACTGCTTAAAGTTTATAATTAATAATACCAAGGGCAAATTTAAAAATCTTAACCGGTCTTATGCGTTAGAGGCGACGTTAACAGACAACATGAAGTCGCGAGTCCTCTTGCAAGTTTTAGCAACCCTGCTTTAAGTTTCTGGTCAACCTTATGACGAAAACTTCCACCCCAGACGCGCGGATTGGCTGTCGCGAGTCACGTGACCTACGAGCCATCTTGGGCCGTCTTAGCTGTCGAGCGTGTGTTGAACGTGATGTACGTCGGTGTTGTGTTGTGGATCGCGTGAAAGCGACCAAACCGGGACTTTTCCAATGCCCGTCTGATCAGAAGAGGCTGTGAGAAGCGGAGATGAAGCCGAATGGCGACGGATGGGGATCGCATCTGCGATGTGAGTCCACAGTTCACTTTATAGGCCTAAGGTTAGGCTTTTGATGGGCTCTCGTCTTGCGCACTCATCCCCCCCTACATAGATGGGTGGGAACACCGTATACTCGGCATAGATGTTGTACACGTCCCCGCGTGTAACACTTGCAGTCCCATTTGATATTCCCCGTGAAGAAGCGTGATTCCTGGCGGTGGGAGCGGCGGGAACCCATATGGATAGGGTGGGACGGGAGCGTGTATCCTCAGATCGTAAACATGCCCTCTGCTGCGTCGTAACCACCCCGTTCTCTGCCGTTACTCATTCGTAGGCCTGCACGATCGGGATCTTGGCGAGGGAGTCCTCCCTCCGCTTCCTCCCAAACAGGAGGGAGAAAACTTGCGAGGTGTGGGATTGCTTTGCCTCCATCCGAGGACGAATGCAGTCGGATGTGTCTCGAGGGCGCACGGCAGGGCCTAACGTTAGGCCTTACTCATTCCAGCGGTAAACGTGAGCCTTAGAGGCTTACAATTGGGGTTCGGCCTCGAACAGGTCCTCGTTCGAGTGGAACTGCCGGGTTCGGTCGAGCTTGTTGGGGGTTAGTGATATGCCGTGTCTTGCGAGCGAGGCCCCAGGCCCGTGCCGAATCGGGCATTGGCCGATTTTGATGAATGCGATTGGGGGGAGGGGCAAGGTCATGATGACTTCTAAACAACTTGAACTGTATCGTTCGGCATTATGGTGGCTGAGTGACGAGTGAGGGGGCGGGGAGAAAGCTTCGCAGAGAGAGGACCAACAAATTTTGTTCAGCAGGGCCGTCCAGAGAGGGGAGGGGGCAAAGGGGGCAATATGCCCCGGGCCCCTAGAAACCTCTGACCGGCTCTGGTGTTCAGTGCCTTAATAATGATGGGCTTATTCGCCAACACTAAAAGACAGCTCATGACCAGGACCTAGGTTGGGGGGGGTGGATTCTCGTCGCAGTGGATACATCACCCCGTTTGAATTCACACCTCTACGTCCTCTCCTTTCCGCTCCATGCGGTCTCGGGGACTCCCCAAGTTGCCACGAAACGGGGAGGAAATGAATTTGTCATTTGCTTTGTAACGCGGCAACTTGTTTCTCGTGTTCAAAGTGCCATGCTTTTGGTGTTCTTCGATCTATCTCAAAGAGTTCGACACCCGTGGAGTCAAGGTTAAAGACGACTCGTCACTCGACCGGTCACAACATCATGAATTAACCGGCATAACCGGTGATCCAAGTCGATCCCCAACCCGACTCGCATGCGGAAGATCGTCTACTCTCAGCGAATTGGAACCCGCGGAACGGCCGAGAAGGGTTTCCACGGTTCACGTCGAGAATGCAAACGCGTTTACGACAGTTTCCATCGACGCAGGAGCCTGACTCTTCGGACGCGTGTAAGACGTTGTAATTAAGTTCTCGATGACTCGTCGATTCGCTTCCGTTTCGAACCGGGTCCTCGAAGGTCCTTTTCCATTCCAGACTGCGGCCCTTTTTATTTTCTCCCATTCCAATGTGACCGGTTTGCAAAGGATGGAAGAAGACCCGAGTCTCGGGCTTATATTTCGCGACACGAAGTGGTAAGGCTTGAAGTCAGCTGGGAAAGAATTCGACTAGCAGACGACGTCGCGGACGATCGAATGGATCTGCCGCATTCGACAAGTTTTCGGTCGGGCATCAGTGTCTCTTCCGACCGACGCGCGCACGTTCAGCCGGAGCAACACAAAATGTGATCATGCAGCTGATTAATTGCACATAAGATTCTGAGGGTAACCTCATCCCCAAAAGAAAGCGAAAGGAACCAGTACGATAGAATTCTAATGATGCCAGTGATTCTAACCAGCCATCATTGACGTAGGAACTTAAAAATAATCGGGTGGGGCTGCCGAGCAATTGCAAACGTCCAACGGAAAAAAAAAAACCGCGAGTATGTATGATATGGCAATATTGTCCCATTGCCCTCACACCCCATCCCATTTTTCCTACGCCCTGGCATGCATCGCTCATTCGCGAGAGAGACTGAGTCGAAAACTACGACTTTAATTGCGGACGAGGTCGTCTTTCTCCCCAGAGACATCTGGTGTGGGGTGGGTGAAGCACTTGAAAGATTGGAAGAACAGCAATCGAGTCCCCGTCCTTGTCCAATGTTTTATTTTTTTTTCTTGTTTGGCCGGTCATGTTCCAAGGGCAAGTGTCAAGAACCAAGGGCACCCTTCAGCGTATGTTGGCCTTGACATTAGCACGGTGACACCCCATGGCGCACCCATCGAATGGCAAACAAGTTTCAAAACATCCAGTTGTATGAATTTCGTTAAACATTTATTTTTCTTTTAAATAAAAGTTTCATATAGATGAGAACGTTTCAGGGTCGCGTACCCAACCGCTACGCTCAATAGAAACCGAATGAAAAATGGTCAACAGAAGCGTCTCAAATCGGTAAGTTTAATTTTTCTTTTAAGGAAAGAGACAATACGAGGGCTTATGGTCCTCTTTTTCAGGGTTATCGTCAAATTTCTGGAAATATTTTCCTTTTTTTTAAGAATAAATTTACCAGTTCGAGATGCCTCTGTTGACATTTGTTCACAGGTTCCAGATATTAGATTTCGTCGTATTACGCCGTTAAACGTCTGAATTTAAAGATAACCTGAGAATAACAGATGCAGCGTAGGCATCGATGCGCAGTAGAGGGGAGTCAGGCGAGGGAAATGCGCGTTCTGACGCTCTAAACACGTTTCAAGAACACTTGAAAGCTCAATCCATCGTACTCGGTTGGGACGATGGATGGAGCGTGATGGATCGAGTGTGATTACCTCCGAGTCCCCAAAGGGTGGTGGAAAGGTTGAAGACCCAAGACGAGACGATGGGGTCCGTCCCGAAGCTGTTGATCAAGAGGCCGCCGAAGAGAAAAGCGAACGTGGCGGGGATCCCCGTCACGACTCCCTGCCGGGAAAGAATTTACGTCGAGAAACGGGTTCGGCAGCAGGCAATAGAGAGGCAAGGAGATGGACTCCTGACCGCCGTGAGAGTGCCGGCCGCGAGGACGACCCAGCCCCATCCCCCGTCGGGTGCCTCGTTCGGTAGCCTTCGCTCCCTCATTCGAGCACAGCCGCGCGTCACAGCGTCACCGCGTTTGAGGGGGAGGCGATCAGTCGGAGGGGAAGGACCCTCTCTCGGGAGAGGCCGAGTGATTATTTATGCGTATCGCGCTGGGCGCCTCGAGGGGGTTGACATCCCAGAAGCCAAGAAAAACAAACATCCGCGCAACTCCCTCGCAGGGACCGGAAAGCGACTTCTGGGCTTGGTTTTCTCATCACGCCGCAGAGACGAAGTAGAAGACGGGAGGCCGCGTGATCGGAGGCGAGACGCCGGGGGGTCGAAAGCCCCTCGAGACGTCACGTCGTTTGTGGGCGTGGCTGCTCCGTCTTAACC